CAGAATGAATTAGGTGGTAGAGTGAAAGGATTTCTCCTGTGAATATTGGAATTCTAGCCATAATAACAATGTCATAGATTAAAAGCTTGTACTGACCAACTGGCCCCCATCTTCACCCGCATCGTTAATAAATCACTAGAGATGTGCTATGTTCCTTCTTGCTTCAAATGCTCTACTATCATCCCAGTGTCAAAGAAACCCTCCATCAAGGAACTGAAGGACTTCAGACTGGTTGCTCTAACACCTGTAGTTATAAAAACCTTTGAAAGGCTAGTGCTGGCCCACCTGAAAACCATCATGGATCTGCTGTTAGACCCCTTGCAATTTGCCTACCGAGCAAATAGATTGACAGATGATGCTGTTAATATGGCTCTGCACTACATCCTACAACATCTTGAATCTCCAAAGACCTATGCAAGGGTCCTCTTTGTAGACTTCAGCTCAGCATTCAATGCAGATATTCTTCTAACTAAACTAAATCAGATAGCTGTACCTGACCAGACTTGTAAATGGATCATAAACTTCCTAACAGACAGGAAGCAGCAGGTGAAGCTAGGCAAAATCACAACAGATACCTGTACAATTAGCACAGGGCCCCCTCAGGGCTGTGTGTTCTCTCCACTTCTCTTCTCTCTATACACCAGTGACTGCATCTCAAAAGATCCCTCTGTTAAAGCACTGAAGTTTGCAGATGATACAACAGTGATTGTTCTCATTCGAGACAACGACGAATCTGCATACAGATGGGAGGTTGAACAACTAGCTTTGTGGTGCAACTGGAACAATCTTGAACTAAACACACTTGAAACAGTAGAAATGGTGGTAGATTTTAGGAGAAACCCTCCTATACTACCACCTCTTATAATACTAGACAACACAGTATCAACAGTAGAGACCTTCAAGTTTCTAGGTTCTATCATATCTCAAGACTTAAAATGGACACTTAACATCAAAAACGTCATCAAAAAAGCACAACAAAGAATGTTCTGCGCCAACTCAGAAAGTTCAAACTGCGCAAGGAGCTGCTGATTCAGTTCTACAGAGGAATTATTGAGTCTGTCATCTGAAACTCTATAACTGTCTGGTTTGGCTCTGCAACCAAACAAGACAGACACAGACTTCAACAGATAATTAGAACTGCAGAAAAAACAATTGCTACCAACCTGCCTTCCATTGAGGACCTGTATACTGTATGAGTCAAAAAGAGGGCTGTGAAAATATCTACAAACCCCTCACATCCTGGACATAAATTGTTTCAACTTCTATCCTCAAAACGACGCTATAGGGCATTGCACACCAGAACAACTAGACACAAGGACATTTTTTTCCCAAATGCCATCACTCGGCTAAACAACTCATTTCCACAACACTGTCAAACTATTCACTAAGTTTGCACTACTATTATTCTTCTCATCCTTCCTATTACCTATCTCCTCCCACTTATGAGTATAACCTTGTTGCTTGTATCTCTACTGTTTATATTGTTTATTTGTTCCTAGTCTGATTTGATTGCTTATTTAGTAACATACAACTATTGCTAAGTGTTGTATCTTATGATTCTTGATGAATGTATTTTTTTCTTTTATGTACACTGAGAGCATATGCACCAAAGACAAATTCCTTGTGTGTCCAATCACACTTGGCCAATAAAGAATTCTATTCTATTCTATTCTATTCTATTCTATTCTATTCTATTCTATGAGGCAGCAAAGGAAGGACTTATTCAAGCAATGTTTATGGAAAAAGTGTGATGATAGGAATTTCTATTGTAGATGGTTTTAAAATGGGATTGCAGAAGTTCATGTAGACTCAGATGGCACTAAATTTACATGATATAATTTATCATGATCAATTTTGTTTGATTTTGCTTACCTTGATATACAGTATAAACCCAATCATTGTACCTTGTAAGCCATGCTTTATGGTTTAGTGTATTGTATGAATTCAGATACTTATGGCTTATTCCATGACCCAAAATGTAGCACAAAACATGAATGAGATGTCAGTGGATAATGCTCTTGTATGCTGTTTGCTTGCTGCCTCCAGAAACAATTCAAAATGGCAGTTTTGAGTTTTAATCTCCTGTTGTAAAGACATAGCAAATGGCAACTGAGCTTGACTGACTTCAGAATCTAAGTGGGGTTGGACCTAGTGAATATGTGAATGAGGCCATCTAGGATTGCCAGGTGGTTGATTAGATAGGGACTTCAGGAAAACTTTCTAAAAGAAGGCAATGGCAAGTTACCTTTGGGACATGGAGAAAAGCATAGATACAGTTACCAGGAGCTGGGCCCAACACAAGGGTACCTTTCCTTTTACCTTTCTTTTTGTGGGCTACTCTAGAAAGTTTTGGTTGTTCACTAGAAGATGTAAGATGTCTAAGTGGATCCTTGAATGATCTAGCTCGCTATCTGGCCATCCTGTACAGGACCATATACATTTTGCAGTACATCATCAACTTTCAGCAAAGCCAAACTGACTTGGAATATCTTGGAAGTTAATAACATTGATTGCCCATTCTTGATGTATAGTAGTAGAACTTTCCCCTTTTTGGTTTGTTGCTATCCTTATTTTTATTTATTTTTCAACTTTTGGAACTGCCCATCTCCATTTAGAGCTTCATCTCCATCAGGAACAGGCAATGTTGAATCCTGTGTTGTATGGCTCTCACTTCACTCTTTTCTGTTAGTTCCTTGGTACCCCTGGCCCTTGTCTCATCCAGGTGCTAAGCGAGAATATTTTGGATTCATTCTTCCTACAACAGAATAATTTTTCCTATTCAGGTAGAATGACACCACCTGGTTTAATAAGGGAGTTTCCCTCCCCACTGAGCAGAACAGAATTCCTTTTATATATTCCTCTTTTATGGGGCTACGATGAAAAATATCCTAATTTACAACTCTTTTATTCACATGAGCATTGTAGCTGGATATTCTTAGGTAGGAAAAACTTATTAATACATTCCAGTGTTGAAATCCAATTTTTTTTACTACCGGTTCTGTGGGCGTGGCTTGGTGGGCATGGTCTTGCTTGGTGGACGTGGCTTGGTGGGCATGGCAGGGGAAGGATACTGCAAAATCTCCATTCCCACCCCACTCCAGGGGAAAGATACTGCAAAATCCCCATTCCCTCCCCAGTCCTGGGGGAAGGATATTGCAAAATCCCCATTCCCACTCTACTCTGGGGCCAGCCAGAGAGGGTATTTGCTGGTTCTCTGAACTACTCAAAATTTCTGCTACTGGTTCTCCATAACCTGTCAGAACCTGCTGGATTTCACCCCTGAATACATTCTGTTTTGAAAATTGGAATGAATAATATGGAAGTGAGTCAGTAGCCTATTCATCTAATGAATTTTTTTTCTTATTGAATTGCTTTACATATGCACACACACATACACATACACAGAAGTAATGAAATCTAAGGAAATCCTTATGATGTGATTCTGTAAAGTATTAGGGGTCAGCTATTGCCCACCTTACAGGTAGAGCTCCCAGATCCAAGTGGCAAAAATCCAGAGGACCATTAAATGGTAGCAAGGGAATACAAGCCCTATTTCTTTGCAGCCCATGCCTGCAGTTCAGGATTATCAACATTTGGCAGGAAAGCCCTTTCCACATTTTATGGAATCTCATTATGATGGCTCACAATTGATCTTCAATATTCCACACAGAAACCCTCAAAGCATATAATAAAGTTTAGCAGGAGAGAAGTCAAACAGTTTGGTCTTTCTCTTCATTAGACAATCTTCATTGGTTAAGCCAGGGGTCAACAACCTGCAGCTCTGGAGCCGCATGTGGCTCTTTCACTCCTCCGCTGCGGCTCCCTGTCACTCAAATTATATGTCACAACCACCAAGGTGTGACACTCACTGCCACGTGATTTATTAAGCTTTTCAACCCCCGGTAGGCCAACCATAGATAAATCCAAGAAAAGAACAGTTGCAGAAGAAACAAGAACATTTAATTCAACTATATATGCTAGTTTTGTGGCCGCTCAAGAAATAGTCAAGCACGGGAAGGGTTTTGTGGCTCCCGGTGTTTTCTTTTCTGTGGGAAAGGAGTCCAAATGGCTCTTTTGAGTGTTTAAGGTTGCAGACCCCTGGGTTAGGCAGTTTTAAAGAAAGCAATGGTTTTTCAAGCCTGTCTCATATCTCCATTCTGGTAATTAATGATGGTTGTCTCCTCTTTTCCATCTATCTTTAACAGAAACCTACTGTATTTATTTTAAAAAATGAAGATTGCACCATTTTTTGTTGGTAATTGGCTACATTTGGTTATATCTTCTAGGTTTCCCAGTATGGTATCTAAAAATGTATGTAAATGATTTTAAACACCATTGTTATACCACTTCCCACTTTTTTTAACCAGGATTTTTAATCCTCTCCCTCATAGAAAAATTCTTGGAAATTCAAAAGTGCACATGCTTTTTTTGTAAGCCAGCATCTATTACAGATGTTGTCGTAATACAGATTCTAATTTTTTGGTTGCCTAATCGCTCATGAAGTTGGTGGAGATGCAACAGTGGAACTTTGCCTGTTGAAGTCTGACTTATTTTGCAGCTGTATAACGTGTAGGAGAACACTATACAGCTTGCGTGGTGGAGTGGGAATAAATTAATGAGTTAAACAGGCAATCATACAATGTCGTGGAAAAGCAGCCATCTTTCTAATTTTCTCTCTGGATAAACGGGAGGCGTTTTCACCACCCAAATTCCATCAGGAAAGTCGAATGCAACAACCCCATTATGGGTCTCTTAAGGTTATATTAAGAACATAATCCTTCGATATTACGTCACTGACACTTGCTTTCGCTTTCAACGAGACAGATGGAAAGAAATCTTCCTTCCTTCCACAACAGCGATCGCCTCAGATGCCCATCCTGAAGTCACCGCTTACCAGACGTCAGATAATAAGTGCAAAGCAGAAGGAGCGTCGAGAGTAAAAACTACATCTCCCATAGTGCCTTTTGCACCCGGTAGTAGCTGGCAGTGGCGAAGGAAGAGCCACGCGTTTCCCTTCTTCTTTTTTTTTTCCTTTTCTTTTCACCAGCTCAGCGATTTTTCTTTGGTCTTTGGACTCACTTAAACGTGAGCAACAGCTTGTACAACAGTTGCACTTTCCTCGTTTTAGGCTGTTATGCTGGCTTTTCCTTTTAGACACTTTGCCAAGGTAAGATGCGGTGGGAATGACAGGCGGGGCTGTTGTGGAGGGGAAGAGAGCAAGTTGCTTTGCCCCCTTGAAGTGGGAGCAGAGATGCGGAGAAAGAGGGGCAGCTGCTTCATTGATTAACTTCTGAGAAGCGCTTTTGAGCCGGCGGTCTTTGATGTTTGGGGGCCTCTTGGGATGGAGAGCGGATGACTTGAATTGCAAAGAATCGGGGGATCTGACCTCAATGATCATTTTCCCGCCCCCCCCCCCCCAAGCCACATGGAGGGTGATGAGTTATTTGAAAAGGCCTAAGCTGTTCTCCACGCTTGGTTCAGTTTTTCTGCTTCTCTGAACAGCAAAAAGTTTCGCTGCTCCAGGAAAGATCCATCTCCTCCTCCTCCTTTCCCCCCCACTTCATTTTATATCTTTTGTTTTGAATGGGACTGTTAAGTGTGCAAGTTTAGAAATCGGAGTTTCTTGGGTAAGGAGTTTATATGCCCGCCTGGGGCTTATAGCAGGGATCTGATAGCGGCACAGATCGTTGCCATTCTGCTACTCAATTATTATTTAATTCTGGCTAATAGCTCTTGGAAGCGGCACAGAGCAAGGCGAAGAGTTATCTTGACGTTCAGGACTGAGACACTATTATCAGCGGAAACCTCTCCAAGCAGTCACGCTTTGCTGGTTTTTATGGGCTAATTTTTTTGTAACATCTCTTTTCTTTCACATACTGTCCTATCTGACATTGCAGCTTTGAAGAGAGGAATTACAGAATTGGTTAGAGCCTCCGGCCGGCAGGAAGAAAAGAACAGGGATAGATCAGAGACAAAACTAACTTTTTGCAGCTACTCTGTGACCTGGCTAAAGGTCCCTTGGCAAGAACTCTGTTGTACCCTGGAACCGTCAACAAAATGACCCGCTGCCGCCCCTCTGAAAATTGCTCTCTGATTTGCGGACTGTTGATTAGAAATGTCATTAAAATTCTCCTTTTAAAAAAAAACAACCTACCACAACAAAAAAGATTAAAGCTTGTGTGGCAAATCTATTCTTGCAACCTGTCAAATATTCCTTTCCTTTAAAAAGGAATTTTATTTTTTTCCCCCCTGGCAAACAGTGTTGGAACATTTCACCCTTAAAGCCAAACTTGAGGCATTCTTAAGTTTTGCTACTTTGCTGATGCAACTTGTATGACGCCGTTGCATCATCTGCAGAGGAGATTGTGGTTGTCTGATAATCCCTTTAATAAAGAAAATGAAAGCCAATTTTTTTCCCCTTCAAGGTGCTCGTCATTTGTGGTAACAGCTTTACTTTGAAATGAATTTTAGTGGTGGGGATGAGGGAACCAGTCCAGCTTTGTAGGCACATATATGCATCCAGCAGTTCTTCCCTGACGGGATTTACCAGTTCAGCAGCACAAGCAGAGGCCTCAGAAGAGGCCTACTTGCCCATCTGCAGCACAGAGCCATCTCTGTCTTACCAGACCTTGAAATTGACTGTCCCGCTCGCCCCTCTAGCTTTGTCTTTTGAGTTCTCACTCCATTGCTCATTCATTGAGTCAAGTGGCTAGAAATATCATTCCTTTTCTGAGTTCCATTTGGGTAAGATGCTGTAAGTATTGTCAATTCCATTCTGCAAATTCATTGAGACAACTTGGAGGGAAGTTGACTAGCTTCAGCAATTTTGGGTTGCATGCTTGCCGGTATATATAGGACCGTGTTCCTTAATGTTCGGAGAAGTAATATTTTGCCCTTTCCCTCCCAATCTTCAAAAACTACCACTGTGCTCAATAGCTGTCCAATGACAGAAACTTGCAATTTAAATTTCTTGCTATGCATATGATTTGTGTGATGATAGTCTAGTTCTGACATGAAGATAATTGCTACTGGTCACTGCTGCAAAAGCCAGCATGGCAGAGGGAGAGAGTTGGTCTGAAGATGTATGCTGGATCAATGTAATTTACTGGGTAATCTAGTCTTTACACCATTTTCCTCCAACCTCACGGCCTCCAGAAGCAATGGGCTCTCAATAAAGGAGAATATTTGTAGGTCAGGGTTGAAATGAGGGGTCCTTGGTGCTCTCTGAGCTTGTTTTCTTGCATATATTTCATTACCCAAACTAGAGTAATAGGGTAATACTAGTTTGGATAATGAAACATTTGCAAGAAAACAAGCAAGCTCAGAGAGCATCAAGGATCCTGCAATGGGCTCTGTTGACAATGCTCTTTGTGCTATCGGGAGTTGCAATATTAATATACTGTATCTGGAGAATTCCTAGCAGTAGAAATCCGTTTAGGCAGTAATTCCCAAACTTGAATGGCTCCAGATGCTTTTAGAATATATTTCCCATCATTCTTTGCCATTGCTTATGCTGATAGTAGAGCAGGAACATCTGAGGACCCAAGGGTGGAGATTACTGCCACGTCTGGTTTGGCAGTATCTTTCATGTGATCTTAATTACATGAAGGAAGAATTGAACTGTACCCTAAACCTTGCAAAGACATCTTTGAGGAATGTGGCCCTTCCCTCACTGATTTCGAAAAAGGGAAGTTGCTTTAAACATATGGGGTTTCCTCAGGGATTGGGGAATATTTATATATGAGCAGTCTTTCCCCCAATAAATGAACAAGCATTGGCTCTTAAGATTGCTATCAATTATCTGGAGATACTTCACTGAACTTAAAAGTAGCCCTGCTGATCAGACCTAGGCCCATTTTAGTCCAGTGTTTTGTTTCTCACAGTGGTCAGTCAGATATCTCTGAGAGGCTCACAGGCAAGATAGTCCCCTCTTTTGTCATAATTCCCTTGCAACTCTCTTTGAAGGCACAACATCTTGCATATTATTATGAGTGATGATTTGGGAACCAGAACTCTCTGTTCCCAGAATGCTCTTTTCCTGCCTACGAAGCTTTTTTTCTATAAGTATTTTACTGCTTTGGAAGACTTACCTCTTTGTTGAGTTGTTCCCTGTCCACAATTATTCTGTTCCTTCTGTCAGATAACAAGCTCGAGGTCCCATTCTGAGATGAACTAAGAAGAATGGGACCAGTTAGAAGGATTTTTCTATGGTAGCCCTTTCACTGTGGAATCTATTGTCCTTGGAAATATGCTTGGGTCCCTCAATCCTGGTTTACAGGAAATCTCCAAAACCTTCCTTTTTAAATAAGACTTTATTTGTCTTGGTGCCTGGTGAGGGGAGAGGAAAATCATCTTATTTAAGCCAGTCATTTTTCCTCAGACTTTTCCTAATTTCATGCTTTCTTTCCTTATTCAGATTGTTGACCTCAGTAGCTTCCAAGTTTGGACTCTCAAATGAAATTTAACTATCATTTAAATTATAGTTGGTGGCGCGCTGTTAGAATGCAGTACTGCGGCTGTTTCTGCTGGCTGCCAGCAGTTTGGCAGTTCCAATTTCACCAAGCTCAAGGTTGACTCAGCCTTCCATCCTTCTGAGGTTGGTAAAATGAGGACCCAGATTGTTGGGGGCAAGAGGCTAACTCTGTAAACCGCTTAGAGAAGGCTGTAAAGCACTGTGAAGCGGTATATAAGTCTTAAGTGCTAGGTGGCCATTTCGAATATGTATTAATGGGGCTTCCTGTAAAGGATTTTGCCTCCTGTAGATAATATACAATGTGTTTATACGATTTTTGAAGAATCAGTTGTTTTTTTGACTGGGATGGCTTATGCTGGCTCTTTTGTGATCCTGTCTGCTCTTTTACCTTTTCAGCCCCTACAAAGATGCTGCCAGGCAAGGGGGAGTCTGAGGGCCCAACACAGCAAGGCAGCTGCAACTTCTTCCAAGGAGGCCTCAGGCTGGACCGGGCAGGAGAGTTTGGCAGAGAGTGACCCTGAGATGTGGGATTTGGTACAGCAGGAAAAAGATCGCCAGTGCCGGGGTCTAGAACTCATTGCCTCAGAGGTGAGTGAGAGAAGCATCTTCTTCCTCAGCCTTGGGTTGAAGATCAAGTAGATGCATTTTACTTTGGATCCTTCCAATGAGGGAATGTTGTCATCTTCATTGATACCTAAAAACATATACAGGTAATCCTCGACTTACAACAGTTCATTTAGTGACCATTTGAAGTTACAATGGCACTGAAAAAGTGAGTTATGACCATTTTTCACACTTATGACCATTGCAGCATCCCCATGGTCACGTGATTTACATTCGGTTGCTTGACCACTGACTCACATGTATGACGGTTGCAGTGTCCCGGAGTCATGCGATCCCCTTTTTGCGACTTTCTGACCAGCAAAGTCAATGGGGAAATCAGATTCACTTAACAACCGGGTTACTAATTTAAGAACTGCAGTGATTCACTTAACAGCTGTGGCAAGAAAAGTCTTAAAATGGGGCAAAACTCAGTTAACAAATTTCTCACTTTGCAAGCTAAATTTTGGGCTCAATTGTGGTCGTAAGATGAGGACTACCTGTATTCAGCAGAGGCTTAGTTACTTTACTTCATAATGACAAATGCACCCAGATCTTTAAGAGTAATAAGAGTACAAATTAAGAAGTTTCAGTTGTATTTTTATTGTGTCCATCATATTTCCTGGTACAGTAGCAAATCAGATGTTTCTTGAAAACCAACAAACAATCTGCAAAGGTGATAGATTTCCATCCTTTCATGGAAGTGTTCTTCCCTCTGCAATGGATATATTATCGCAGAGCACGGCTAATACCCATCAGTAGACTGGCCTGATGTCTGTTCATTTGTCTCAATCCAGTAAATTTTTTAGAATGTGGATTGAAAGTCTCTAGTTCAACTCTTTGCAGCTCCCTAGAGAAACTTACTGGGATTGCTGTTCTGTTGTTGACTTAGGTTCTCTATTTGCAAAGTAGTGTATCTTAAAAAATTGTTGCAAGAATTATACAGTTTATAATGTCTTTCCTATTGTCTTGTAATATTAATGGAAAGGATTATAATTGCCTTTAACCAGAAACCAGCAACATGTTTTTCATACTGCCTAGCCAAAGGTTAAGAAACCCCAAAATATTATTTCTCTCCCGATTTGGAGTTCTCCTCTTCTACTATAGGGTTTCCTGCCTAAGTAGAGGGTTGGACTAGAAGACCTCCAAGTTCCCTTCCAACTCTATTCTATTCTACTAGATATTCACCCTCACCTGCTATTGCTTACTTCCAAAGTGGCCATTACAGCATTGGCTCCACTTGGAAGCATCAAAGAAGGAACAGCTTGATCTTCCCATTGTGTTTATCTGAATTAATCTGTCGCTCCATAAAATATGGCATTTTTCTTCTTTAGCATAAGAGAAACAGAAATGTCATTGAGGTTCACTTTCTTTTTTTCCCCTCCCCATTCAGCACTTCCTTTTTTCTCTTTCCTCAATTTCAGAATTTCTGTAGCCGGGCTGCCTTGGAGGCTCTGGGGTCGTGTCTCAACAACAAGTATTCCGAGGGCTATCCAGGCAAGAGGTAGTGTACTTTATTATGGGACCAAAGCAGACCTTAATAGATTGGGATGGGCAGACATGAGAATAGATTAAAAACGAGATTGCCTGAGTTTATCCTCAGCAGTTTGCCTTAGAATAGGAAAATACGGTAGTCTTTGACTTACAACAGTTTGCTTAGTGATTGCTCGAAGTTACAACAGCACTGAAAAAAGTGACTTACGATTATTTTTCACATGACCGTTGTAGCATCCCCATGGTCACATGATCAAAATTCAGATGCTTGGCAACTGACTCATATTTATGATGGTGGCAATATCCTGGGGTCATGTGATCCCTTTTTGTGACTTCTGTGAAGCCAGATTTACTTAACAATCATGTTACTAACTTAACAATGGCAGTGATTCACTTAACGGTGGCAAGAAAGGTTGTGAAATAGGGCAAAACTCACTTAACAAATATCTTTGTTTAGCAACAGAAATGTTGGGCTCAATTGCAGTCGTAGGTCAAGGGCTACCTATATGGCCTTATAAAAGTTGCTTAGGTTCGAATATGTCCACCAATCCTAGTCATTAGTCAAATAACATTTGAAGGACCATGATCCCTCCATTCCAGGCCTACAGCATCTTCAGTACTACACCACACTGCCTGTCACAAAGTGGTATGTATTTACCGCATACATCGATACAGATATAAGTACTCAGATATCCATTACTCCGTCAGGAGGAGGAAGCCCTATTTTCTGTTCTTTTGGATTATTTTGGGAGTGAAGGCTAAGGGAGCATGTAGATCCTACTGAATCCTTCCCACATGCCTGGTGTTTGCCAACCACATGAAATGACTTGCCTTCAGAAGAGGCCTCAGACATTTTGGTAAGGTCCATTTTGGGGCAGAAACACTTATATGTTGGCTCTGAAACTGACCTCTGATCCTGTTGTGGCCTGTCGGTGGCCAGTGGAGCTGGCAGCAGAGTCAGACAGTGAGGAGGTTGGGGAGGAACATGGGCCAGTTCTGGGGGCTGGGGAAAGTTCAGATGAGGGCTCTGTGGCTAGACAGCATTGAGGCAGAGGAACAGTGGAGCCTCTTCCCAGTGTGCACATGCGCAGAGATGCCAGAAGACAAGAACAACTAAGAAAGCAGGGTCGATTTGGGAGTAAAGCCACACCTTGGAAGTGATTGGCCCCTCCCATAGGAAACAAAAGAGGAGTGAACGGGGAGTGGGCTTTTGCAGGAAACAATTCGTTTGTTTGTTTGTTTCAAGAGTGGAAAGTTCTGTTTGTGATTCTAAGAGACTCTGTGCCAAGTTTTGCCTTATACTCCATTGGGAAACTAGTTATCTGGCAGCTTTCCAAGCGAGATAAGGTTTGTGTTGATAAATATTCCTCTGAAAGACTGTTTGCCAAAGCCTTGCTGACTGTGAATGAAAGGAATTCACAGTCGTGTAAATAAAAGGACTTTTGCCGGGACCAAGACACTGCTTCATGCTTTTTAAGGAAGTCTAGGTCAGAACAGATCCCCATGGTGGAGATAAGAAACATGTTATAGCTATATTTTGGAAACCAGGGGGAGGGGGAAAGTGTTGTATGGACATTTATTATGGACGAGGTGCAGAGACTTACATGGAGAGAAGGGGTGACCAGAATGCTTCGTTAGGGAATGGTTGCCAAGGTAATGTTCTTTGTACACTGTGATGGCATGGAGGAGATAGATTAAAATTTTTTCTAGTTTTTCTCTGTTTCAGAAATTAGAGTGGCATTATGTGTTTTTCTGTTACTAACATTTCCTTTGTGGCTATTGATATCCTGATGCAGGTATTATGGTGGTTCTGAGGTGGTGGACCGCATTGAACTGCTCTGTGAACGCCGTGCTCTTGAAGCTTTTGACCTGGATCCTGAACGCTGGGGGGTGAACGTCCAGCCTTATTCTGGATCCCCGGCCAATTTTGCTGCCTACACAGCCTTGCTGCAGCCGCACGAACGTCTCATGGGCCTGGATTTACCCGACGGGGGCCAGTACGTGTCTGGATTGGGGAATGAAACTTGGGGAGGAAAGCCTTGTGAGATGTTCCAGTCTAATAGCATATCAGAAGGGGTGAAAAAGGAGGATTGGGCTGCCACAGTTGGGAATAGCTGAGGGGAAAGAGAGGAGGATGGTGCACAAGAATAACCGAGAGAATGAGGATCTGAAGGGTTTACTGATCCACAAGAAGAAGGAGCTGAAGAAGCTGGAAGAGGCAGGGAGAAGACCCAGAACGACTCAAAAGTGGAATTTTTGGAGTACCCTATTTTGACCAGCAATATATAAAACTCATAGAATAAGGCTTACCTCCTCATTATCTGTCTCTGATTTAGACATAGCCATGTTTTCTTTAGTTTTGACCTATAGACTTTTCTGTCATTTCTGGATGCTAACATGGATGATGTTCATGTTGGATCAGGGGTGAAATGCTCCCGGTTCGGACCGGATCTCCCGATCCAGTAGTGATGGAGGCGGGTAGTTCGGAGAACTGGTAGCAAAAATCCCTGCCCCCCCCCATACCCAGCTGAGCCGCACAATCATCAGAGGCTTTTTTTTTTACTTTTAAAAGCATTTTTTCTACAACCTCTTTGGCTGAAAAAATGTTTTTAAAAGTAAAAAAAAAAAGCCTCTGATGATCGCACGGCTCAGCTGGGATCCCAGCTGAGTTACCTGATCGGGAGAGGCTTTTTTTATTTTAAATGCCTCTGACGATCCAAGCTAAGTTGCCTGGTCGTCAGCGGCATTTAAAAGAAAAAAAGCCTCTGCCGATCAGGCAACTCAGCTGAGATCATCAGAGCCTTTTGAAAGCATTTTTTTTACAACCTCTTCATGGAAGAGGTTGTAGAAAAAATGGTTTTAAAAGTAAAAAAAAAAATTGGCCACACCCACCCAGTCACATTAACCCCCCCATCAAGCCACGCCCACAGAACCGGTAGTAACAAATTTTAGATTTCACCACTGTGTTGGATGATGTTGAAGAGCATCTGCCTCTTTGCTTTCTGGGAACTGCTATCCCTTGTGTCTCCCCATAATCTATACCTCTCCCCATGCTGCCTGTCTCATGGTGGCCTTGCGGGGGAAGCGCCTGGCTAATTTGTAATCCCTTTAGACATAAATATTTGTCCCCTTAGCTTCTTGGCTTGAGTTGGGCTATGATTGAGGCTTAAGCTTTGTCTTGACAGAATATCTTCCTTCTTCTTGACAGCCTGACTCATGGGTACATGTCTGATGTCAAGCGTATCTCAGCCACGTCCATCTTCTTTGAGTCCATGCCTTACAAACTCAATGTGAGTAAATAGGAGTTCAAAATATTTGCATGGCCCTGATTTCCTTCTCTGCTTCTGACAGTAGGTTGAAAATGCAGATCTAGAATGGTGGGCTAAAGAGTTCCTGATCAAAACTTAGTGGATGCATGCAGAAGATGGCAATGACGATCAAACTGAATTTTGTAAAAATCTAAGATTTTTTTATGTTAATCTCAATGACAACCAAACAAAGCAGTTTAGCTTCTGTGCTTGCCAGTAAGTGTGTGAGTGGTGTTTTCTGAAATCAGAATTATGACTAAATAGGTTTTCCAGTAGTTGAGAGGATGGTGGGAAAAGTTTCATTTACACATGGACTGGATCTCCCTGCAGCTGACAGAAATTAGAATAAATTACACCCATTAGTAAACTATGCAGATTCAGTTGTGAAGAAAGGAAAAAGTGGACACATATGCTTAAGTTACAGAAATAGATTTCATGAGCATCAACTTTATTCATTCATGTATGCCCACAATTCAGTATTGTATCACCCATTCACCCTTAGTAGCTTTGATGTCTCTTCTGGATATGTTGTGCTGAAAGATCACTCTTCTGAATAAAGTAGACCTTTTTACACTCAGATGGCTTCATCCAACCTTCTTGAGTGGCTCTTAACTTTTGCAAAAATGTAGAATAACCTTTCCAATTTAGAGCCCTGGGTTGAATTATATTTTGTTTTAAGTTTTTAAGTTTATGTTTCAAATTTCTATTCTGTCTGAAGTAATCATTGTTATGCTTGGGGTGGTTGAATCTAACCTTGATGTCTGCTGTCAGCTTTTATTTTGTTTTTAATTAAAATGTAGAATCACTTTCTCAGCTAGCGCCCTTTATTACATCTTCATGTGTGTGTTAAATGTTAAATGTATGACCTTGCAACTTTCAAGGAATTTTGACCATGTTGACTGGAATTTGCCAGATATTGGGACTTGCAGTCTTATGTGTCTGGATGATGTCCGGTTGAGGAAGGCTAATTCACAGGATCTTATCTGTCATTCCCACACCCTGCTGCTTGTTTTCTACCATCAGGGTATACAAACAGGCTTAAGGCTGAGAATCTTTATTGCCAGCACTGAAGGAGAAAGGAGAACATTAGGATGTATTTATGTATCCGCTACGGGAATCCAATAAAATTATTTGTTTAAATGGGATTTCTTTCCCTTTTTAGTTCCAGCCTGATTCTCTGTGGATGCCCTTGTTTGAATTCTCTTGCAGTTTTTTAAAAACCTTTTTAGAAAATCAGGAAACTGATTGTTGGCGGTATCAACCAGCTATGAATATAGTGGCTGGGAAGTGATGGCTAATAACACCTCTACTTCAATATCCTGGCTGGATTTAATGCAAGCTTCTAGAGATGGTGTATTTTCCTGTAGGTTGATCTACACAAGTATTTTGTACTAATTTTGCCAACATTTGGAGGAGGACAGTACAAGTAGTCCTCGACTTACAACAGTTCATTTAATGACCGTTCAAAGTTACAACAGCAGTGGAAAAAACGTCCGAAAGGTGCTTTTTTCAAGAGGCAACTGGACTTTCAGAAAGTCCTGAAAAAACACTCTTGGGACAACTATGACATGGATGACTGAGTATCTCCATAGACATTTAGCAGTGAAAAAAGTGACGTATGACCGTTTTTCACACTTATGACTGTTGCAGCATCCCCATGGTCATGTGATCAAAATTCAGATGCTTAGTAATTGGCCATATTTATGATGGTTGCAGTGTCCTGGGGTCACGTGATCACCTTTTGTGACCTTTTGACTAGTAAAGTCAATGGGGAAACCAGGTTTATTAAGAACCATGTTACTAAGTTGACAACTGCAATGATTCACTTAACAAGCGTGGCAAGAAAACTCATAATATGGAGCAAAGCTCACTTAACAAATGTTTCACTTAGCAACATAAATTTTGGGCTGAATTTTGGTCATAAATTGAGGACCACCTGTATTGATTCGTTTCTCTGTCCACTGTCCAGCCAAAAACAGGACTCATTGATTATGACCAACTTGAGTTAACTGCCCGACTGTTCCGCCCACGTATCATCATCGCTGGCACCAGCGCTTATGCCCGCCTTATTGACTATGCCCGCATCAAGAAGGTATGTCTTAGTGGATTGGGAGGACAAAGGTTGAACTGAATGAAACGGCAAAGTGGCGTGAGCTTACCTGTCTTCATCTATCCCTTTTTGTCAGGTGTGTGAAGAGGTGAAGGCCTACCTGCTTGCTGACATGGCCCACATCAGTGGTCTGGTGGCAGCCAAAGTCATCCCATCACCCTTTGACTATGCTGACGTGGTGACTAGCACCACTCACAAGACTCTGCGCGGGGCAAGGTAAAAGTGATGTAGACGGGCATATGTCATTCTGTTTGGGCAGCAAATATATGTCCTTCAGCCAGAGATGAAGGATTTGGGGAACTATACAGTAATCTAACAATATCTAAGAAGCCATGGTATCCCTCCTTTTTGCAGTTGTACCAAGGACTATGGCTTCAAGACAGGTTATATATTTTATATTCAAAAATTCTGTGTTGTAAACATTTCTAGATAATATTGGGCTATTGCTGTCTGACTCTGTGGAGAACAGCTGACATCTATATATATATAGCGTTGACCAATAGAAAAGAATATATGTAGCTCAGGGTCAAATTGTGGAGTCCTTGGTGCTTTCTGTGTTTGGTTATTTTCTTGCAGATGTTTCATTATCCAACTAGCTAACATCAGTGCTAGTGCAGGGAGCACCCAGGACCCCATACAGTGTTGGGACAGATATATCAAAAGTCTTGATGAAATACGCAATACATTTTTCTTCATTTGACCTACTTGTGTCTTCTAGGTTTATAAGTTCTGTGGTTTCTCTGCCATTCCCAATACAGAAAGTGTGAGTTACTTGGGAATAATAGGAAGCATGGTGTTGCCTGCGCATAGTCTGTTGAGGAAACAGACTAAGTTTTATCAGATTCAAGTCATTAGCATTGCAGGAGTAGCCAGCTGAGGCTTCTTGTAAACTTACTCCAAAGTTAATTAGCAGAGATTATCTTTGGAGCTCAATACAAAGTCAGAAAAGGACGGTGCACTGCTGATTAGCCAATAAGTGAAATTGCAAGTCAAAGAAAGTACAACTTTTTTTAAAAAATATTGCCTGTCTCTGTCACTTTTTGGATGCGTATCGAATTTTGGAATGGTAACAATACAGAATTTTTGCTTTATTTATTTATTAAATTTGTTTGCTGCCCATCTTGCCGCATGGTGATTCTGAACCCACAGCTCTTGAGATTTCTGTTTAGCTTCTTTACGTCCATTAACATTTTTTTATTGAGTTATAAAGTAATGTAAAATACAAAATACAAAGTAAATAGGAAAGCAGTGGGGAGGAAAAGGGGAAGGAGAGGTGAGGAAAAGAAAGGAAAGGAAAGAAAAAAAAAAGAAAAAGAAGCATTGACTTCCAACTCTCTCTGTTACAGTAAAATAAGGCATTAACATCAAATCACAACTTTTTGCTTTTTTCATAATAATATGAACAAGCCATTTCTATAAAGATCTATCAGTCTAATCAGTAAAACCCAGAGTTTCATTCTTCTCCACATCAAGCACGAAGGTCAGAAGCGGTCTCCATGTGGAAACAAAAGTATTTATGTTCTTTTCTTTAATCAAAGTGGTCAATTTTGTCATTTTGGCCAACTTCATTAACTTCTGCAACCATTCGTCCATAGTGGGAATCGAAGTGTCCTTCCATTTTTGTGCATTCAATAATCTTGCTGCTGTCAACATATATAGTAACAAAGTTCCAATTTTTTAATCTATTTCTTTTTCCATTAAACCCAAGAGGAAAAGTTCTGGTTTCATTTCTGTTTAGCTTCTGACGTTTGACTTCTGAGATTTCAGTAGTTACAAAAACGAGAAACTTACCGTACATTTTCCTTTACCGACGGAATCAAACGGAGGTGAATTTGCTTCCTGTTGCTATAATCGCCGCTGTTGTCTTTGCTTCTGTAGAATTACTGCAAACATGGTCTTGATGAAGGACATTATATGGATGGAGGATTTTTTTTTTTTTTTTTAAATGACTGCGAAAGAGAATATGTTCAGCCTGGCACCTTTCGGAGCAATATTTGAGGGTCTCTGCAATAAGCATCTAGCCGAGAGACGTCTGTTTTGATGCTTCCGTCTTCGTATTGCACACAGGTCAGGGCTGATTTTCTATCGTAAGGGTGTCCGTTCTGTGGACAAGAAGAGTGGCCAGGAGACCCTTTACAATCTGGAGGACAAAATCAACTTTGCAGTCTTCCCCTCTTTGCAAGGCGGCCCCCACAACCATGCCATTGCTGCAGTGGCAGTGGCACTGAAACAGGTAGGAAAGAAGGGGTCTGTTTTCTTTGGGGTTTGGGTGGTCTTGAGTGGATTTTAGCACAGTTACTGGGACCGACGTGAAATATTGATGTTCAAACCAGTTTATGATGGGTGGTCAAGCCTTTGGTTTATGGGTTCTTCTCAAGTGGGCAGTAGCATCGTCTTATCTCTCTCCAGTTCTAATTCTGAAATTTAATTGGCCTTTCACCTCAGCCAAGTTGGATGTTCTACCCTCTGCACATCCCTTTCCAACAGTGCTTATTGACCCTGTGGAGATGGCTTTGTAGAATCCTTGAGCCATGTGCTCCTTTGTTGCTCTCTCTATAGCAGGGGTGTCAGACTCGATTTCATTGAGAGCTGCATCAGGGTTGTGTTTGACCTCGGGGGAGCGGGGAGCGTGGCCTGGGTGGCATGGCCAGCTCGATGTCACTCGTGCTAGGGATGCCTGTGGTGGTCTGAGTGCTGTGCCAGTGAAAATGTTTTTGCTGGGAGAGGTACCGCAGGCCAGTCCTTTGCTGTTTCCAAGGTAACCCCGCGGGCCAGATCTAAGCATCCCGCAGGCCGGATCCGGCCTGCAGGCAGGGGTGAAATGCTACCGGTTCACTTCAGTTTGGGCAAACCGGTAGTGATAAAAACTAACAGTTCAGGTGAACTGGTAGTAAAGAAATGCTTTAAAAAATTTTTTTTAAAAAAGGTTCCAATGATCATAGCTGTAATAGGTAGTAAAAAATTCTTTAAAAAGTGTAAAAAAAAAAAAAGTTGGCCAGGCCCACCCAGTCACATGACCGCCCACCAAGCCACGCCCACCAAGCCACGCCCACAGAACCGTTAGCAAAAAGTTTTGCAGTTCACCACTGCCTGCGGGCCTTGAGTTTGACATCCCTGCTCTATAGGGAATTAAGGACAATATATATTTATCCTGTATAAAAAAAACCTAACCTGGCAAACAGCACAATGTGTATCTTTCACTGTTTTTATCTGAGCAAGACCCTGACATACCTTTCCAGGTTGCCCCATTTTGTGCTACCGTTTGTTGCATCCATCCTACCTGTGGCTGAAATTCAGCACATATGTCGTGATTGCCACTGCTATTTATGCTACATTATTATTTTCAACCGTGTATTTTACGTACTTTTATTGCAATATTTTTAAAAGTTTTATTAAGAATTACAGATCGATGTATTTACGTTGTGCTTTCTGGCCCATAGGCAGTAATAAAGATTTTGATTTGATTTGACATGGAATGAGCAATACTTCTAAAGCCTTGGACCCCTAGCAGCCTTTAGAAAAGGGAAGCTTCCAACAGGCAACTGAGAAGAATTTTGCTGAGAGCAACTAACCTGCCTTGGCCCTTTGTGTTTACAGTTTGATCTGCTGAGGTGCCAGAACAACATCTGTTGTTAAACCATTGCAAAATATAGCCAACTAGGTTGTTTCCATGCCACATTCTCTATCCTGCTTGTATCACTCAATCTAGTTATAAATCCAGAGTTAATCTTAAGGATAATACCGGAGGATTTATGTTGGCAAATGAAGGCAAATATGCGTGTCCCAAGATAATGTTGCAGGATCCAATCTGAGTTGGTCACAAAGGTTTATTCTTCAGGCTTGTGCTGAAGCCCATCCTCGGGGAACTTCTCTCTCTCTCTCCAGAATGTATCATTCTGAGGATGGGCTCCAGCACGAGCCTGAAAGCTTGGAAGAATGAACTTTTAGTCCCCGGGACCGATTTAGATTGGATTTATATTGGGGCAAACAAACATGAAGTCATCACGGTGGAATAAATCCCGGAAAGTCAATTAGAATTGAGTTTATTGCATTTTTGCTGTAACGAGGATTGTCTTCCTTATTTGATTCAGCATGGTAGCTCTATTATTTCTGGGAGAAACTAAGACTTGCATGCCCCAACTTGGTGTCCTCCAAGTTCATTGGATTTGAGTTCCATGCTGGGTGGAAACTCTGGGAGCTAGGGAAGTCTGGACCAAACTCTGAGTAATCCAGAGAATGGGAGTCTATGGAGATTCTCAGTCATCCAGATCATGGTTTCCCAAAGGTGCTTTTTCAAGAGGCAACTGGACTTTCTGTGGTTTTTTTGAAAATGTTTCGTTTCTCATCCAAGAAGCTTCTTCAGCTCTGAAGAAGGATGGAAGGTTTTGGAATTAACATAGCAATGCATTCGAGCTGTGCAATATTTTGGATTTAAAAGAAAAAAGTTGCTTAAGAACGCAGAATGCAGAGTCGCATCTATTTGCCACTCCTTAAAGCATCTTCACCTTTTCCCAGGATTGTGCAGCTGCTCCCTGCAGCTGCAGAACAATTCTGGGAAAAGGTGCATTTGATTCAAGGAGTTGCTGACAGATGCTACATGCGTGCCTACGTGCACTGTGAAATTGTGAAATTGCCTACATGCACCGTGATCTTGTATTACGCATACAATATCCTAGTAATTTAACGTTTACCAGTAATACATTTGTTGGCTTTTTTAAAAAAAAACAGTTCAATACAGTTTAAGAGATTCTGTGCAACACAGCCTTAGTTATTTGGATATATTAGTTTGGCTGGGTAGATAAATAGGTTCTATTAATACATCACACTAAGCCATGCTTGTTTTAAGCATGCTCAATTGAACAAGCTGTAAACAGGGCAGAATTAGTCTTGCAGACAGGCAAAATAATCCCAGCTTCTTGGTCTAACTTTTTAAGATGCTCTTATCTTATTTGAATTGCTGAGGGACAGTATTCACCAGATACGCTTAAAAACCATGTGTCCCTATTTTCACATAATAGTATAGCTTTAATTGCAATAGCAATAGATTTACAGCCCCCTCTGAGTGGTTTACAGCATATTGCCCCCAACAATCTGGGTTCTCATTTTACTGACTTCAGAAGGATGGAAGGCCGAATCAACCTTGAACCAGTCAGGTTCAAACTCCAGACTGTGGGCAGAATTAGCCTGCCGTACTCTAACCACTGTTCCACCACGACCCCTCTTTTAATCAGTAAGCCATGAACAAATCATGGTTTCTAACAAAGTTTTATTGCCCTAACAGGTGATTGATTCTGAATGGCCTTAGCATAATGTGGGAACCCAACTATTGTTGTGGTCCGCCAGCAGCCTGTGGAGCTGGCAGCAGAGTGGGACAGTGAGGAGGCTGGGGAGGAACATGGGCCAGTTCTGGAGTCTGGGGAAGGATCAGATGAGGGCTCTGCGTCGGAGGCAGAGAAAGGGCCATCTGGGAGGTATGTGCTGCTTCCAGAGCCTCCAGAGTCGGACCACAGCGAGGCAGAGGAACAGAGGGAGCTTGTTCCCAGTGTGCGCATGTGCAGAGCTGCCAGAAGGCAAGAACAGTTAAAACAAATGGGACGACTTGGGAGTAGGGCTTGGAGATGATTGGCTCCTCCCATAAGACTTAAATAATAAAAGAAAATTTTGATTTCGACCCAAAAGCCTTTCTCCTGGGAATTTTGAAAACTGAATATGCAAAAAAGAAAAAGTATTTAATTATACATATTCTGACAGCCGCTAGAATTTCCTTTGCCCAGTATTGGAAAGAAAAACAAATACCACCTCAAGAACATGTTATTGGAAAAATATTGGAGTGCGCCGAAATGAACAAATTGACTTCAGAAATTAATGACAGAGAAGATTTGGAATTTTATAGCGTGTGGGACATGTGGTACGAATGGATGGGGAAAAGAAATAAAGAAGGAAATAGAGATTAAATATTAATTAATTAACAAAATCTATATGAATAGTATTATATTTAGTCTTAGAGAGTTGAGCACTATTATCTTTAAGTGTTTTGAAATTAAATCTAGCTTTAAGAAACAATATCAAATAAAAGACAAGTAATAATGCATGTAGATGTATATATGTATATAATTGCACCAATGAACCGAAAATGTATCGATTGTATCACTATATGTTATAATAAAAATCAAATTTAAAAAAAAAAAAGACTTAAAAGAGGAGCAAAAGCACATGGGCCTTTGCAGGAAGCAACGTTGTTAATTCTGTGCAGTTTAAAGTCTGAAGTTCTGTTTGATTCTGGACTCTGTGTGGCTTTGCCAATTAGGTCTTTGGCAGCGTGTCAAGGGAGATAAAGATGGGTGATTATCAGCCTTATCCCGAAGGACTCTTTACAACTATTTGGGACTCATCTGTGAATGAACAGAATTCACAGCTGTTAAAATAAAACAGGTTTTTGGGACTACTCTTGTGTTTTACTGACTCAGGAAGCCTAGGTCAGAACAACTATAAAGTTGTCCTTTAAATCTTTATGATGGGACATCAACAGTCCTATGATGTCCTATAATGTCATAAGTTACACTATAGAAAAAGTAATGCTGATTCTTCCCAATCTTGCATCCCTTTCTGCTTTAGGCCAGCTCACCCATGTTCCAAGAGTATTGTCAGCAAGTACTGAAGAACTCCAAGGCCATGGCAGAGGCGTTGCTACAACGAGGATACAATCTTGTTTCAGGTATAGTGAAGATGTGCTTCAATGTGTGATAGAGCATACATAGGAGCAGCTTTTTCTGAGCTGAGCCGTTGGCCACGCTAGGTGAAAATGGTGTACAGGTAGCGCTCGACTTCAGTTCAATCAGTGACCATTCAAAGTTACAACAGCACTGAAAAAAAGTGACTTATGACCCTGTTTCAGACTTACGACCATTGCAGCATCCCCATGGTCACATGATTTACGTTCAGGTGGTTGACAACTGGTTCACATCTATGACAATTGCAGTATCCCCCAGGGTCATGTGACTATCTTTTGCCACGTTCTGACAAGCCACGTCAATGGGGAAGCCAGATTCACTTAACAACCAGGTTACTAATTTAACCACTGCAGTGATTCACTTAACAAATGTGGCAAGAAAAGTCGTAAAAGGGGGCAAAACTCACTTAACGAATTTCTCACTTAGCAACATAAATTTTGGGCTTAATTGTGGTCGTAAGTTGAGGACTACCTGTATTTTAATGTTCTCCCCCATTAGTAGCTGCCATATAGAATGATTCTCAGGCAAAAGAGAATAATTCTAGGCCAGCTTTTCATATGATGTGTGGGTGGATGGACTTTTTCATGTGGATTGAAATCTCCACCAGCAATCTGAACTGGTACACCCCATATCCTCCTTTACATTATAGCCTTCTTTTGATGCCTGAAGAAACTGGTTGTTCAGGCAATATTTATGAAGAAGAGGCTGTACAAGCAGTTCTTGATTTACATTTCATTTAGTGGCCATTCAAAGATACAACGGCACTGAAAAAAGTGACTTATGACCATTTTTCACAATTATGACCATTGCAGCATCCCCTTGGTCACGTCAACAAAATTCAGTCACAAACAAAGGCAAATATATGTGTCCCAGGATAATGATGCGAGATTGAATGTGGGTTGGTCAACGGGACCAGAGATTTACTCTTCCAAGTTTTCGGACATGGCAGCCGATTCATATTTATGATGGTTGCAGTGTCCCAGGGTCATGTGATCAGCTTTTGCGACCTCCTGACAGGCAAAGTTAATGAGGAAGCCAGATTCACTTAACAACCAGGTTACTCACTTAACAATTGCAATGATTCACGTAGCAACTGTGGCAAGAAAGTTGGGGCAATGCGGCAAGTCGTACAATGGGGCAAAACTCACTTAACAAATGTCTTGTTAGCAACATAAATTTTGGGCTCAGTTGTGGCCATAAGTCAAGAACTACCTGTATATAGTGCAGATGTGAAGGTCTGTAGGTATTGGCAGGCAGATGCTTGGTAACGTAGTAAGTCTATGAGAGAATGTGAACAATATTGTGGTCGGAGGGAGGGCACATTCAGGTGGTCGACTCAGCCAAGAACGATATAATATTTTCCAACAAGATAAAACCCCTATTATGTTGAGGTAAACAACATAACATGAAATTTGTTGTGCCAGGGGAGGTATTTGCTTAATATCGCTGTATATGTAGTTTTCAGGGCTATGTGCTTTGTAATAGGGTAATTCTTAGTGGGTACAATGGAGGTCACTATTGTCCCCAGGTGAATCAGAGATTTAGCAAAAATATTGCCCATTAAAGTAAAAAAAAATGTTTTTCTAAGAGTTTTCTGTCTCATCTTTTCCTGGTAAAAATTGCTTTCTTTTATGTCATAATAATCTCAGGAAAATCAGATTAGCGATATATATATATATATATATTAGCAGTTTGGTCTATTGCTTATAAAAAGGAATAAAAGTAGGTTCAAGAGAGATATGAAAATGAACTTTCCAAAGAAGTCATGTAAACCCGTACACGGGGGCATGACAACTTATATTATCTATATCTCTGCTCTGAGAGCTCAAGGGAAGCTGGATTCTGTATCCTGTTCTGAGACCTTGAAGGAGAGCATACAGTAGTTACCCCATGGAAATCATTGACACAAGATTTGTTGGCTTGGAGTTTGGGTCAGTAACGTGAAAGAGTTCATTTACTTCACGAAGGAGATATCTGCCATATCTTAGCTGTGATCAAGAGATTCTGACTTGGACAGAAAAAGCTGAACAAGAGACACTTTTGCCTTGAATCAGCAGGGCAATTTTATTTGGAGGTTAATCGAAATAACTTCTAAATGGACCTCTAATTATAGAGATGTAGAGCAGTCTGCACTTGCTGATAAGAATTATGGGAGTTGTCCATTACATCCAGAGCAGTGGTCCCCAACCTTTCTGGGTTGGCGGCCTGGCCTGGCGGGAGGAGAAAGGGGGGATGGTTTTGTGTGAGGGGCAGGTGCGCATAGACCCAGTTTCATTTGTGTCAGTGGTGAGTGGGGCTGCGAGCACTAGTATTGGCGCTCATGCCGGCCTGCCACTCATGCGGCCCGGTTGCAAATAGGCCACAGCCCGGTAATGGGCTGTAGCCCTCAGGTGGGGGACCTCTGATCTAGAGGCTACCCTACCAGATTGGGTAAAACTATAATAGGATAGGATAGGATAGGATAGGATAGGATAGGATAGGATAGGATAGGAAGGATAGGAAGGACAGGACAGGACAGGACAGGACAGGACAGGACAGGACAGGACAGGACAGGACAGGATAGAATTTTATTGGCCAAGTGTGATTGCACACATAAGGAATTTGTCTTGGTGCATATGCTCTCCGTGTACCTAAAAGAAAAGATACATTCGTCGAGAATCACTTAATGCTAGTCATAGAGTACAAATAAGCAATCAGGAAACAATAGCAATATAAATCATAAAGATACCAGCAACAAGGTTACAGTCATACAGTCATTAGTGGGAGGAGATGAGTGATGGGAACGATGAGAAGATGAGAAGATTAATAGTAGTGCAGGCTTAGTAAATAGTTTGACAGTGTTGAGGGAATTATTTGTTTAGCAGAGTGATGGCGTTCGGGAAAAAACTGTGCTTGTGTGTAGTTGTTCTGGTGTGCAGTGCTCTATAGCATCGTTTTGAGGTAGGAGTTGAAATAGTTTATGTCCAGGATGTGAGGGGTCTGTAAATATTTTCACAGCCCTCTTTTTGACTTGTGCAGCATACAGATCCTCAAGGGAAGGCAGGTTGGTAGCAATTGTTTTTTCTGCAGTTCTAATTATCCTCTGAAGTCTGTGTCTTATGGAGGATTGCTGGGGATTGGTTAAATTGCCTGGAGAAAATATAACTCTTCTCACTCTTTCGGACTAGGTGGCACAGATAACCACCTAGTACTAGTGGATCTGCGGCCAAAAGGTATTGATGGAGCCCGGGCTGAAAGAGTACTGGAGCTAGTGTCCATCACTGCTAACAAGAACACCTGTCCCGGGGACAAGAGTGCTTTGACACCTGGAGGCTTGCGGCTTGGTAAGAGCAAGGAATTTTTAAAAAATAGATTATGTGATTGTTTCACAGCTGTGGATGATGATTCTTAAAATGATGTTTCTGCACCATGGCAACCCTAATTTCAGATGCATTAAAAAAAACGCTTTTCCCCATGGTCAACTGGTTTAGAAAAATCAGGAATGGGTGCATATTTCATTAATACAGAATGGACTACATCCAAGGTTACACACAAATGTTGTTCAGCAAATACACTGAAATTTGGGGTGGGGGGGCTTTCTTATTTTGGGCACCCGCAATCTACTCTTCAGCACTTTAAGTATTTTGGGAAGCTCCATGGGGTTGGAAGAAGAATCCATTCAACACTTACTATTCCTTCAGCGGCCGAATGTATTTAAATGCAATCCTTGCAAACACCGATGTTGCAGGATTCAGAATCACCTGCTGCTGAGCATTTCTTAGACACATTTTACATTAATCTCCATCCCTCACCTTGCTGTAGAAGAGCTTGTGTATACAGAGGGGAAGCGGAATTTATAAACTGAATTTACACCCCTGTATATGTGGGAGCTTTTCTTATCTTCCTTATACACTGCAGCATGGGTGTCAAACTCGCAACGTCATATTGCTGTCATGTGACATTTTGCAATGTTTTTCCCATTCGTGGAGCTGGGGTGGGTGTGGTCTGCCCATGACGCACCTGGCCCGCGTGACGCCAGTTTGACTCCCTTGCACTACACTAAAGCCTTATCCACTCAGGGTTTCACAGCATAGTATTTATTTGTAAATTTGGTCTTCAGATATTAAAAGCAACACTTCTTGAAATTATTTTGACTTTTTCCACAGGAGCACCTGCGCTTACTTCCCGACGGTTCCAGGAAGCTGATTTTAAAAAGGTTGTCGAGTTAATCGACGAAGGAATCCAGATTGGACTGGATGTCAAACAGAAGACCTGTAAGACAGTGTGTTATGAAAAGCCAAAATCTGCTGGTACTAATTGGCCAATTTTTTTTCCAGTCAGTGAGTTGAAGTAGAAATTGCATTGGCTGAAAATGTGGAGACATTGATGAACTACTTGGTTACGTTTGATGGATTTGTTACATTCTTTGCTATATTTTAATTGTGGTTCAAGTGAGACTCACATGGTAACAAGCATCCTCTGAATGCTGCCTACCATCTTTTTATTGATCTTGCTATGTAATTTCGACATACACCCAAATTTTCCCACCTAAAAATGAAAGTGGATTAATGTGTTAACACCCACTAGTCTAGATTTTTTTAGTTTGCTCTGTGGCCTGGAAGAGGGGGAAAGCAAATACTTCATACCAGAGGGGATATGGAAACCCAGTAGCTATAAGACAACCTTCATCAACATGATGTCCTCCAGATGTACTGGATGAATTCCCATATTCACCAGTCAGGGCAGGGGAAAACTGCCTTAGGGATTAATTACAATTATAAAAGAGAAGTAGGAAGTATTTGGGAGCATTTGTGGATCAGAAGGTTTTCTCCTGTGGCTCGTATTTTTCCATGCATTGGCAACCTCCAGTTTATTTACCCTCTTCTCTTTGTTTTTCCCCCCGCACAGCTAAACTGCAAGACTTCAAGTCCTTTTTGCTTTCTGATCCAGAAACAAAGCAGAGGTTGTCAGATCTTCGGCAGCGTGTTGAAACCTTTGCCCGTGCCTTCCCCATGCCTGGCTTTGACAAACGTTGAGATCTGGTTCAACTGAAGACTGGCTAACCATGACACCTAGATGGCCAACAAGCTAGACATGAAGAGTCCCTGAAGCCTTGTCTCTCAGAGCTTTATCTAGTGGAGCCCCTCTTCACTTAGAGGTGATCTCCTTGGCCATTTCCACCCCCCGTCTATTCCTTATCCCCGTTTTATAATGACTCAGAACAACTTACTTTGTGTAAAAGAACTTGGCTCTGACTCACAATACATGTATTAGATTATGCAGAATGACTTGTAAGAATTAAAGTGATCCACCTCTTTCTATGAATGAAGACATTTGAGCCCTTTGTCAACATTGCTGCCTGCAGGTGTCTTCTGTACGTATGTGTATCATGCAGATATTTTCTCTGCATGTATATGCACAGCCAAAGATGTGAATGCGGATGTTACCCTTGTTCATCATAGTAATGTTTCTACATAGCAACAGAAGTAGGCAGCATCATGCCTTTGTAACAATTTGTAACAAGATCACCTCATACACACTGGATCGCATCAAAGGCCTTAACAAGCATATTGCTTTAGATCCATCATATGAACATGTAACATACGACCAATCAACAAGGGAACCAGTCAGCTGCTCAGAATTTAAATATAGCTCCAAATGAACAACCCATCATGCGACCAACTGACCACACTGGCACACAAGACATATATAAGCTAAATAGGAATAGGACCCAAAAATCCCACTGATGATGTTTCCTAGTCTGGTAATGAAACGTATGGGAACTGAATGGAAACAAGCTCGGAGAGCAAACCGCTGCCAAAATCTAAAACCCGAGCTACAAGTATTTTCTATTATTTCCTATGAAAGACCTTTCTAATTAAATATCCTGATTCCCCATAGTTTCCAATTAGATCCTGCTGACTTTCCACAAGGAAGAGGTAAAGGGCAAACACCCTCTCCTTCGTTGTCCTCCAGCCACTGGCATCACAAATGTGTGACTTCTGATTTTGATGACAGCGTGGAGCCATTGGGACTAGTAAACACTTAGGAGGAAACACTCTATGCAAACGCCTTTGCACTTCTCTGGCTTAGTGAACGCAGGTGGCCGTCTAAGGTAACCTGTTTCTGTTGGTTTTTTAAAAATAGATGTATCATGATTTAACAGTAAAAGTTTATCACAGAACAAGCTGGTAGTCTGTGCTATCTGTTTAAATGGGGACAATCGTCTTGTTACTATTCCCTACATTACGGCAAGTTTGGCCTGCATTATTCACGTGGGCTCTTTTCCGGTGTAAAACTTCAACTAACAAATCCCCAAATAAGTGGATCTTGAATCTACGGGAATCAGGAGCTAGTTTTGGAGCCTATGATCATCACCTTCCTCCCCTAGACCTCATCAGGTCAATGCATCTATGCTTCCTCCTCCTCCTCCTCCTCCTCCTCCTCCTCCTCCTCCTCCTCCTCCTCCGCATAGATTGTGCAGCAGCAGCATCAAAGAGAGGTCCCTCCATCAAGAGCCATGTGGATGGAGAAGCCAACTTGAGCCACAAGTTGAGAAGCAGCATAACCCAGCGAAGGAGTTCCTCAGAAAAAGACAGCTAGCTACCATGGAAGTCTTGTGGAGCTTTGGAAGTGGACTAATCTGCCCAGCTTCTTCACAACCAGGCAAAAAGGATGATTAAAAACAAGAGATCATAACCTAAACCAGTGGTGGTGAACCTTTTCGGCACTGAGTGCCCAAACTGGAACACGCGTGCATGTGGAAACCCGAAGACCAGCTGGCCGGTGTGCACATGCCTGTTTTGGGGGAGTTTTTGGGGTCGTTTTTTGGGCTCTTTTTTGGGCTGGTTTTTGGGCCATTTTTGGGCTGGTTTTTGGGCCATTTTTTGGGCTGGTTTGGGGCCATTTTCAGGCTGTTTTTTGGTGCTCTGGTGCCCATAAAGACCAGCTGGCTGGCGCACATGCCCACAGAGAGGGCTCTGCATGCCACCTCTGGCATGTGTGCCATAGGTTCGCCATCATGGACCTAAACCGTAACAAATGTGCAGTTGTGGGGTAGGCTTTTGCTCACTCAGACGGTGCTGAGCATCAGCTTGCACATGGCTGTGTGGACACTGTCAAGTTGCTACCTAATCAATCAGCCGTCATAAATCTGGTGTTTTTCCCCTAAGCATTTATTGCATTTCTCCGAATTGCTACTCAACAGGGAGCTGGATAGCATCAGCCTGGCAAGGCTGTGGTACAGTTTTTTGTTTTTTTTTAAATTTGATTTATATGCCGCCCTTCTCCGAAGACTCAGGGCGGCTTACAATGTGCTCAGCAATAGCCTTCATCCTTTTGTATATTTTTATACAAAGTCAGCTTATTGCCCCCACAACTGGGTCCTCAATTTACCTACCTTAGAAAGGATGGAAGGCTGAGTCAACTTTGAGCCTTGGCGAGATTCGAACCCTGCAGTAATTGCAGGCAGCTGGTCTTAATAACCAGCTTAATAACAGGGTGCCTTAAACCCCTGTACTACCAAGGCCAATGGGCCAAGGTAAAATGGCCCATTGGTATAGACATCTTGTAGGCAGAACACGACTAAATAATAACACTCAAAAAGGAGAACTGTAGGGGTTCCTCAAATGCTAATGCATTCGTTTTTTAAAATGAGACATACGTGACTCTAATCCCGAATACTTTAGTTGGTCAGCCTGACCTCCTCTTCACCACAAAAGAAGATATATGCATGGAATAATCCATCTACTGTAAGTTGAGGTTGAGGTTGATGCGATCAATTTGGGAAGAAGACAGTGGCTGCAGCAGAACTCCGTGAGAAAGTTTTATTTTGTCCTTGAGGATCCATCATAGAATGAAAGGGTCGGGATGATGCTATTGCTACTACCCCAAGGGGACCATTTCAGATATGTGCTTCAAGGCACAGCTTCCAGGAGAATATTTCTGTATTTTCCTCCCTACCACCACCCAAGGACACAAACTTTTGTATATTCTATGCATAATATTTGGAATAACACATAAAATCGGTGCTTTTGCGCCGCATGGCTGGGAGAATGTGCTGTCCCATCTATTCTTCAACTTCTCGATTAATAGTTTTGAAGGGTAAATAATCTCTTTAATATTATCCATTTCCCCCTTGTTTTGGGAGCAGACTGTTTCCCTCTTATTAATAAATCAGACAACTTCATTCAAATCTAGTTTTATGGGGGAAGTTCCTAAATCACTGGAAAGCTACACGTTACAGTAAATTATATTCCCTCCTCCTCCTCCCTGCGTATCCTGGAAGCTTATCCTGAAGATTAATTACTATTGCTGATGACAACTGATGCCTTAGTTAAATTGCTCTGGTTTCAGCTTCCAGATGTTCTGTTTCTTCTACTACAGCTGGCTTTGATTATGTATTTTGATACTAAGCTTTGTGTGTGTGTGTGTGTGTGCAATGCTTGTAATCACATGATGGTGCTTGCATCTGAAGATTTGTCTTGCCTGAATGGGCCATGCAGGCAATTATAATCCAACACTTCTGGAGGGCACCAGGTTGGGGAAGACTGTCATAAATCAATGACCCCTATGAGATTTTTACAAGCTAGCAGAATATCTCTGTAATGCTAATGCAATGATTATGATCGTTGCCTTCCAAAGAGTTCTTATTTGCTCATTCTATAAGGTCATCACATGCATCAAAAGTGGGGTTTTTTTTTATTTTGTAAAAACAACTGGGCTGATTTTTGAGGCAAAACGAAGCATTTTGCTTCCTATCCTGGACACTTCATCAGTTGTATTGGATACTGTGGGAGATGGAAGGACAGATACACAGACATTGGGTCATCAGATGGAATATTTTCAAACAATACATTTGACCATGATTAATTGAACCATGACTTAATCAATCCAATTGTGTGAAAGGACACTTTGAACTATCAAGCTGACAAACCAGACATGTTTTTGCATGGTAACATGGGATAAAAAATGGTTAGCTAATTTGCAGTTCAGTGTCCTGTAAATCATTTGTTAGTTTAGATTCCTTTCACTGTTTTTACCCCTGGGGGTGGGGGGGAAAGGCAAATAATAGCAATAGTATAGTAAAAGCAGTTAAGACTTATATACTGCTTCACAATGCTTTATAGCCCTCTCTAAGCAGTTTACAGAGTCAGCATATTGACCCCAACAATCTGGGTCTTCATTTTATCAACCTGGGAAGGATGGAAGGCTGAGTCAACCTTGAGCCGATCAGAATCGAACTGCTGGCAGTAAGCAGAATTCGCTTGCAATACTGCATTCTAATCACTGAGCCACCACGGCTCATTTTATAATATTACTGATCATTCCTCATCTGTAACCTTAGAGTGGAGCTTCTGGTTCCAGAGGTGAAATATATATCCATCCTTATATACAAATAAAAGCCAGTGGATTTATAATCTGTTTTAATCATTACCATCTGATGTATGTTACAGTACGTCTTGATATTTGCAGCTGGATTCTGCGGCTGGCTTGGTCTGTGGTCACACATACCTTGAATGTATTGCGGCTATCTGCCTTCTCTTGCAGAAAAGTGGGCAATTCATTTTGTAATGCAGATGCAGGTCACGTCAAATTCACAATACAGGTGATCCTCAACTTACGACCACAATTGAGCCCAAAACGTCTGTTGCTAAGTGAAACAGTTGTGAAGCCCTGCAGTTGTTAAGTTAGTAACACGGTTGCTAAGTGGCTTTGGCTTCCCTGTTGACATTGCTTGTCAAAAGGTTGCAAAGGGTAGTCACATGACCCCCAACGCACTGCAAACACCATAAATATAAAGCAGTTGCCCAGCATTTGAATTATGATCACATGGCCACGGGGATGTAAGTGTGCAATGGTTGTAAGTGTGAAAGATGGTCATAAGTCACCTTTTTTAGTGACGTCGTAACTTCGAATGGTCTGTCAGGGTAATGATGATTTAAAGCTGTAAGGCTATGGACCAGGATGAGCTGTAGGCTATGGACCAGGATGAGTTAGCAGGGTTATTGCCCTTTTAAGACTGAGGATGAGTCAGCAGAGTTATTGCTGCTTTAAGAAGCTGTCTATATAAGGGAGACCATTAGAGGCTGTCTCTCTCTCTCTCTCCTCGTGTATCACTTCCTCATTGTGTTCTATCTGCATTGTAATTCTCTGTATAGAGTTGAAGATTGATTGCTTGCCTGGTATGTGCCTACCACGTGTATGTATGTATATAGAAGTCTTGTATATAAACCACTACTATAAAATAGTACTACTATACTACTACTATAAAATAGTAGTCACGCTGTAAACACTCTGACATGGTCACTAAATGAACTGTTGTAAGTCGAGGACTACATTGTGTCAGAATCTTCTTCAGACCCATGTGGTATGATTATGATAGCTATCACTAGTTGAGTGTAAATTAGCGATAGTGGTCGAGAACGAAGAAATGGAAACATTTATTTCCCTGTGTTCCAACTTGGATTAAATTACAGCCACCTTTCCAAGTTTGCCATAGCAGCTTGGGGTTCACAGCTAGTAAAGACTGAGTTTCAAGCCATTAGGGCTAAAGGTATATATGAAGATCTTTCTCAGCTATTCAGTATCAAAATTGCTAAAGAAATGGGAGAATGTAGGCTGATATATATGTAACATCAACCTGACCTCCATCATATCACCCCTGCCCCAATCCTTGATGACATTAGGGCAGGATTCTCCCCCTACCCCCAATCTCAGAAATTCATTATCTGTGTAATGGTCAATTTGGCACTGCAAGAGCTCATCATGGCAGCCTCCATCCACATTCAAGCCCCCAGGAAATTGAAAACGCATGTACACTCTGAAGCACAAAAACAAAGAAGGAATATCGATCCCTTATTCAACACAGCTACCCAAAACAAACAACCCACTGATTCCGTCTCTTTGAACTCCGCGCGGCGCTTACTTTTGATTTCCTAGGTTTAACCTGCAAATCCCACTGAGCTTTAACAAAAGAGGTTCAGCCAGCTGAAATGCAACCTTTAGTTTTTAATTAGAAATGCAAACAATCTTGCGAAGAAGTGTTAACATTTAAACGGCTAGCGCGGTGTAAGAAACCCCGTTTAAAGAAAAATCAGTTTCAGATTTATTATTTTTCTCATTCTTTGACTTCTCCTGTGTTAACCTGTCAGACACGGAAGTAAAATTTGAAAGCCTTGTTATCACCTCTTTCACCTGTCAGAACAAGGCTGTCAAGGAGCTTGGCAGGTTGACAGATGACATAATCACTCCCTCTCTGAAAAATACCCCGGAGCTGCAGAACATAAGATTCCCATTCTGCTCCATCACTGCTTACCATCGGTACCATTCTGATCCATTTCCATTAAAAGAATAAAGTAAACAAAAATATGTTTAATATTGCTTATATCTCGAGGGAGAAGATCCATTTTTTTTTTTGCCAACTCAGTAAAAGTTAAGCTATTTTTAATTTTTTGAGGAGGAGCAGGTTGCATAGCTAAGCGAACACAACGCATTGCAAAGAACTAAATGGATGTATTACATAAAATGTAGCAACAGTCATGGAACTAATAGTAAACCTGACTAACATACTGCAAGTTCTCTGCTATAGCCTCACAGCTAATAGGAGTTGCAAAGCTTGCTTTTAAAGCCGCTTGCGATGGTGGCTTTTTTTTTTTTGCAGCTATTGATCCAGGAAATGTAGCTCTTAACTATGCTTATCTTAATTGGCAATATAGAATGGGTTAGGAAATTTAGCAAACATCCTGGTTCTTGGGCAAAACTGACTGCATGAAACACCAATGGGGAAGCAGAGTTTCAGATTTAGAAGATCCCTGTCCACCTGGTGATGCTGAACTGTGTTTTCTACGGTTACTAGGCTGCCATCTGGGGAACTTTGCATTAGTTTTGCATTACTGTTTTGATAACTGTAAAAGGGAATTCAGGTCTCCTTTTATCTTTCCTCTTGACTCAGTAGTTTCCGTTTCTCCAAAGCAGTTCAGAGGTCTAGAGCAATAGATAGGTTTCAAAATGCAGTGACTGAAGATCTCTGTGGTCTAATATATCCTTTTCTAAAGGGAGACCAAAGTAACCCAATCAAAACGGACTGCAACAAGAAGTTGCAAGGCAGAGTTGTGTGTTGTTCAGGGCTCTGGCAATCCAGTCAGACCTCAACTCTAAACACTGAACCTCATTCCACCTCCTCTTGTATCATTTTTCATATTATCTCCCCAGTAATATTCTGCAGCCATTGTATACGTTTCATTCCCACTGAGCAACTTTCAGGGATCTTTTTAAATTAAGATTAGGTTGACATTCTTTTGCAGATTTCTCCAAACCTGCTGCCGAAATCTTTCATCCTATCCAGGTAGACAGAATGAGCAGCAGTGCCTAAAGATTAGCACCTGGAGAACATGTATACATGTTGGAAGATACCTTGGAGACAGTGGTGGGATTCAAATAATTTAACAACCAGTTCTCTGTCCTAATGACCACTGGGTAGGCGTGGCTCGGTGGTCATGTGACCATTTGGGCATGGTCAACTTAACATCACTCATGTTGTAATGACTTAGCTGTTACAATGTAATAAGGGTTAACAGGAGAGGCAGTTTCTGTAAACAGGGCAATAAAGATTAGGCTAGAAACAACACCAGAATGTTTCCTTCCTGCTTTCCTTACAGGATTAGCCCTGTAAAGTGGAAAAAAACAAAATAAGATTTCTTCCAACAACCGGTTCTCCGAACTGCTTAGAAAGTTAACAACTGGTTCTCCCGAATAGGTGTGAACTGGCTGAATCCCACCACTGCTTGGAGGTCATCTAGTCCAACCCCCTGCTCATGCAGGAGACCTGTATTAGGGATTTGAACCGCCGAACTGCTGACCTTTCTGATCGACAAGCTCAGTGTCTTAGCCACATTTAACAGCCTTAAAGAAGATAAGAGATTCTCCAAAGTTGTTGAACTGTATCTTTTTTTACATGCCTGGTTATTGTGGCTGGGTATGATGGGAACTGCTGCAGGGGAGGATGGTGTCCTAAATGGCTTATTTTCTTAATGTGTATTTCCCTTCGCTCTGGAAATAGCCAATTTACTTCTGGATTTGTTATGTCCTCTGATGAGGACCAGTGTTTGCGATGCTGGAATGCAAGTCCATTCCAATTTCCTCTGTTCTGTAAGTAGCACAAAAGATGACTGGGTAAATTTGCTCTGTTCCTACAACTGACCTTTTACTCTGCCTCATTAACCAAGGAACCAGTGGTACTTTTCCTGGCCATTTAATACAGAACAAGGTTTTAAAAAGAGAAGAAACAGTGATTGGTAGCTGCAAACATTTTCCTCCTACCCGTTTTCAATCTTGCTTGCTAGGCTGGGGGGGGAGGAGTTAGTTGCTCTCCCTAATGGTCTTGAGCTGGAAGGAGCAAGTTTTGACAGATGGCCTGAACCATGGGTTTTTAACTATTCATCAGAACCTGTCCCTTAGAATGAGGTGTGTGTATGTGTGTATGTGTGTTTCTGCTTCACTTGCTGTCACCAGCCTGCTTCTCTCAGGTTCTCCCTCCCTCATCATTCCCTTTCACTTACTCTGCCTCTCATACTGTTATTTGCTTAGGGAAATCCCCCATCCTGCTTTGCTGTCTGCTTAATCATTCCTGCTGCCTGAACCAAAATGGTCACGGAGGGAAGTTGAGAGCAACACAAGGGGAAGGATGGGCTAAAAGTAGCCAGTGTGAGTTGGGCACCTCCCAGCGGGTCTAGAATAACTCGCCATGGCTGACTCGCCCTGACCAATTCGCCCGGGACAACTTGCTGTGCCCAATTCACCGCAGGACAACTCGCTATGGGACAATTCAAGTGGGATAACTCAAGAGAGGGACAAGTGAATTACAGTGCGAGTCTTGTCTTGCTTTAGGTTGGAACCTTCTCAAGCTAGAAGTCCTCAAGGCTGGAATGACCTGCAATTCTACCTGTCCATCTCTTGAGTTATTCCGCATTGAATTGTCACCGTGGCGAGTTGGCTGCGGCAAGTTGTCCTGTGGTGAGTTAGTCATGGTAGGTGGGCTGCGGTGAGTTATCCCATTCCACCTCCCAGCCCCCGTTGTGTTAATACCACACTCTCTACTAAAGCATCACTAGTCACTTAGGTCGTTTCCTCACTTCTAGCGCCTTCATAACATCACCTAGCTACTGAGATGATATACTGTAAAACCTGCCCTCATTAAGTTGAAGCAACAATAGTTGGATGACTCTAAAAGATGTTATACATTACTATGTGCGGGTAGTCCTCACGTAGCAACCACAATTGGGATCGGTAACTCAGTTGCTAAGCAACATGGTCACTAGGTGGAAAATCATGTGACCCTGACTGGACTTACAATGCATTCAGAAAGTATTCAGACCCCCTTGTCAATTTTGTTATGCTGCAGGCTGATTCTACAGTTGTTGACATTCATTTTCTTTTCTCATTAATCCACACTCAGTACCCCATAATGGCAAAGTGAAAATAGAATTTTAGAAATTTAGGTTGAATTCAACAACAGTAGAATCAGGCTGCAGCACAACAAAATTGGCAAAAGTGAAGGAGGGTCAGAATACTTTCTGAATGCATTGGATAATCTTACTTCCCCTTTGGTTATTAAGTGAAGACATAGGGTCACGAAACAAAAAATTATGTGGGCATGACTTATAATTTTACTTCCTCCTTCCATAGTGTACAGTATTAATTCTGCCTGACTCAAGCGAAAATACATGCCAGTTGCGAAAGTAAGCAAACGACAATCATGTGACTGCAGGATGCTGCGAGGATTGTAAATGTGAGGCTGGGTTGCAAAGTTTTTTTTTTTTTTTTGAAGTGTCGTAACTTTGAATGGTTGCTGCATGAAGCAGTCAGTAAGTGAGGACTAACTGTATTGAAATGAATCTTATCACACCTGTGTTGGGAAAAGTACAAGGCACCAGCTTAATGTGGTATCAGATAACTGACCCTGACTACAAATTGAAGATGAGTAGAAGTGTAGAAGTGACCTTCAAGAATGATGCATTTTCTGGCTGTTGTTAAGGGAACTTAAGTGTAATTGCTTTGCCTGTGGCTCAGTGTGGTGACTTAACGATTGGGTATATTGTGCATGTCTAAGCAATCGGGTTAATCCAGTAACATGGTTCAGTTAACCATGAATTCACATTTGGTACGAAGATAGCTGTTTGCTAGAGCAGATAGAGAAGAAATAGTTCTAGTCTACACCTTTATTTATACTGAAATGCAGGAAATTCCTTTATAGACTATTATGTTTCCCTTCTAGACGCAAATACGTACCTACAGACACATGTACCTAAAGACCAGTTCTTTTGCCATTATAGACTGATATACTCAGCAGCAAATCAGGATCTTACTGTTCTAGACATACAGAAACTTGCTCAGTGTCTGGACCTGAACCCGTCACCTTTCCCCTCTCAGAAATGTAGAGGTGTCCCATCATATGGAAGAAGAGTGGGCCAGCAAGGAAGGGCTCTATGAAAGAGGCTGGGCTGCATTTATGACCCACAACTGAGTTGTTGCTTTTAGGAAGGAAGAAGGAAGCTAATGAGAGAAATAGAGATGAGGGCTGCCTACAGGAGTTTGATCTCAGCGGCCCTTGAGTTTTCCTCTTCGCCTTTGCCTGATCTTAATCCAAACAGGAGAATGCATAGAGATGTAATTGTATTGTTCTCCTGGTAAATTTCATTTTTTCTGGAGCCCAGTCAAAGATTGAGGGGGGGGGATTTTTTAAAAAAGCTTGCCCAGCCCCATATGTGTGGATGGTTCAGTAGCCAACTTCATTCTTTCTCTATTTGGCCTGAGGCCTAGAGGCCTTTCTGACGCTGCCATCGCTTAAACCAGCAACAAACTCTATTAGCTGCTACTGCAAATTGGATTTGTTCAACGCGATTGGATTTTGCTTTCGGCGTCTGTGGCTTAGGTGGCGGGGGAGGGGGGAGAGGAAGGGAGTGGGAGGGCAATCACGGATAATAGTGAATGTTGCATTTTTCTCCTGAGTCCAAGCAGAACTGTCATCTGTTCCTACAGGGTGGCAGGAAACTAGAGATTTAAGGGAGCAGCAGGAAACAACACGTGCCACTTTTTCACAGCAGACTTGTTAGATGGTGGGTCATCCACCCCGACCAACCCCCCCCCCTTTGCTTTTAGAGCTAAAAGACAACAGCTATAGGAAATTTGACCTATCTTGGGAAGGAGGGCCATCAAGTTGTAATAACTGTAAAACAGGAGTACAAAACAAGCTTACACTCTAATGTTACAGTCGTGTAGCTGATTATTTGCACTATATTTACATATACAGTTAAATCCCAGCCCTGCAAGACTGCCAGGTGGAAATCATGTCTTTTTCTATGGCAGTTTTAAAAAATTGCTTATACAGCCATGGCAATTTATTCATTCACTGGTCCTTCTTGTATGTGTGTGTGCATTTGTGCACCTTTGTGCACATTGTTGACTCCAGGCAACTGATGAATTAGTCCCTGCAGCTTTCTTGGCAAAATTTTGGAAATGGTTTGCCATTACGTACTTCCCAGGATGGTGAGAAATGACTGGCCTAAGATCCCCCAGCTGGTTTTGTGCCAAAGATGGGACTAGAACTCACTGTCTCCCAGTCTCAACTTCTGGGCCAAACTGGATTTCTCCTTCTTCTCTATTAAGGGTCAACGTTTGTTCTAGAAGGCAGGGACAAGAATGAATAATGGATTGGAGAATTGTAGGGCTGTTAAAAAGAAAGGCCAGATTTACATTACCTGGCAGACCAGCATGAAAATAGCACATCAAGACACTTGGTACATTACAGATTTGCAGAATAATCATGAAGAGATTATGGGAAGTTGTAATAAACTATGTATATGGTTTAGACATCAACCACGGCTTGTTGCACTAACTGTGGTTAGACAAAATGCAGCTGAGCCTCAGGTCTGGATTCAGATCACCACTTAGGTTGATTTGGGATGTCAGTTCTGAATCTCAGCAGATTTAAATAATTTATTCTGTGTAGGAGCAGAGGTATCATTTTTTTTCTCTGCAAGGAAATTATCTTGGTGTGAGGTATGACAGAAGGCATGTAAGGCTTAGGTGAAGCAGAGGATAAAAACAACTGCAGTTTTACCTTGCTGTACTGTAATTCCTAATCACTTCATGTCCTGTAATAGTATAAAATTAAAGGAAATCTGTGAAAGAAAGCCTGAGTTGAACTGAGGGCTGACAGGATAGGAGAAAAGTAAAGGTAAAGACTCTTTCAATGGAGCTTAGCTCATGGCAGCTTCACAGATTTTCTTGGACAGGATATTGTTCCAAGATGTTTTGTCTTCTTAGAAAGATTTCCTGGTGGTCTCCTATCCAAGTACAAATCCAGTCTGACCCTGCTTAACTTTGGTGGGAAACGAGCCACTCCCACCAAATAACTGCAGGATGCACGAATGCATCTTGACTATGGCCTAAAGACAGTGAGGAACAGATGATAGCTACCATGGGCTCCACAGGCATGGAAGCTTCCAGCTAGCCCTTCAGTCTTTAAAAAGAAATGCATGCCACAGAGGAACTTAGAGACTGGCCTAGAGAGTTCCAACCACGGGTGAAATTCTGACAGGTTCTGGAGAACCGGCAGTGGAAATTTTGAGTAGTTTGGAGAACTGGCAAATACCACCTCTGGCTGGCCCCAGAGTAAGGTGTGAATGGGGATTTTGCAATATCCTTCCCCCAGGAGTGGGGAGGGAATGGGGATTTTGCAGTATCCTTCCCCTGGAGTGGGATGGTAATGGAGATTTTGCAGTATCCTTCCCCTGCCATGCCCACCAAGCCATGCCCACCAAGCCACACCCACAGAACCCATAGTAAAAAAAATTGAATTTCACCACTGGTTCCAACATATAGAAGTGAAGCCACAGGTGAAGAAAGCTATGGATAAGTGGGGCAACCTTTCCCTGCAACTGTCAGATGGGTGGTATTATCCATGCCACCATCTTCTTTCTTTCAGACTAAAAAGACCATAGTCACAGGTAAGAGTGAGACAGAACATTCTTTGCTGCTGATTTTTGCAGGCCTGATCTGACAGCTTTCCTGCTGATGCAACATGCTGGCATTATTGTGTCTGTTGCTCTTTCACTGCTGCTGCTGTTTCCCCAAATTGCAGGTTAAATTTTCAAGCCCCAATGTAGATGCTGGTGCTTAAATTGAAAATTAAAGTTGAAATTTTGGAGCATATCTGAAAGATTTGCTCTGGGGCTGCCAAGCTATGCTATGCTTATGATCCTAGATCTCGAAGTGGAGGAAGGTAAAGACTCCAGAGAGCTTAGCGAACCCTAAGTAAAATAATGTAGAAAGTTGGGGATGGAGTTCCTTGATGCTAATTATTTATTTTTATTTTAAAAGAGCTGCAACAAGGATGAAATCCTTTGGGACTGAAGCAGTGGCGCTAGAGGCAGGTTTCTGACAATGTTTTCATGTTGTATTATTTTCTAATCCAAGTTAACCTTTCTCATAACCGTGGTTAGTTTTGCACATGCGGACAGAGGGAAAAGGCTTTGGGCCTATGTTTCTGACACCCAGTAGGCAAAGAACAGCTTTGAAAGAATTATTCTTTCAGAGCTGATAATTTCCATCAGAAAACAGGGGGGGGGGGTGAAGAAAGTGTCCAGTGTTCCTCCCATAGTGGGAATGAAAATGGGGGATCTTCCCCCACTGCTATTTTAAAAGAGAAAGAAACAAGGAGCAATCTAATAGCAGGTGCCCTTTTATCTGGTCCTGTAGCAACAGACCACATCAGCTGAATGGCAGAGAGGTAAGTGACCATGTTCCCTACTGCTGTAGGCCCCAGAGAAAAGAAAAAGGACGAAGGAATGAGTGGGGGAGAGGGCAGGGTCTTGAGACTAAATTTTGAGTAGCTTTTGGGATCTGCACAGTACAGATAGTCCTAGAGTTATGAGCACAATTGGGACCAAAATGTCTGTTGTTAAATTAAATGAATCGTGCCTGATTTTACATCCTTTTGGCCAAAGCTGCAAATCACTATTAACTGAATGGGTGTGGTTGTTAAGCGAATCCAGCTTCTTCCATTGACTTTGCTTGTTGGAAGCTGCCTGGGAAGGTCACAGATAGTGATCACACGACTCTGGGATGCGGCAACCATTGTACCTACATGCTGGTTGCCAAGCACCTGGATTTCAATCATGTGACTATGAGGATGATGCGGTGGTTTGTAAGAGTGAGGATCAAGTTGCAAGTCACTTGTGGCCTGTTGGTCTATCTCTGGCCTGTATGTATGTTTTGTGGTTGGAGCCAAAGAACCCAGATAGGGAAGACACAATTTTCCCAAAGATAAAGATAGTTTGAAAGAGAATCGTGCAATTATTTTTATGACTCCCAGTCCCAACTCTAGGTGGTTATGGTCTGCCAATCCGCACCTCGTGTTGCTACTGAGAAAATGGTCTTACAGGTTTTTCTATTATTAAATTCTTCCCAGAGAGCCTGTGAGACAAGAGCGTGAGACAAAAGTGAGCTAGCTGGTGTATATGTCTGTTAACAGATGCAATACCTCTCTCAAACTAGTTTCAACTCTTTTTGAAACAGCTTAGCAGTTTGATATTTGCTTGTCAGAAGGTTGCAAAAGATAATCATATGACCCCGGGTCATTACAACCGTCATAAATACGAACCGGTTTTCAAGCATGACCTGGATGACTGAGAATCTCCATAGACATCCGAATGTAAATCACATGACCACGGGGATGCTGCAATCATCTTAAGTATGAAAAATGGTCATAAGTCACTTTTTTCAGTGCTGTTGTAACTTTGAATGGTCACTAAATGAACTGTTATAAGTCAAGAGCTACCTGTACTCCTAATGAAGCCCAGATAGATTCTGTGAAAATGTGATACATCTGCAGACTAATCTGGATCACTTGGGACTCCTTTCAGAATTGGTGATAGGCAGTGTCCTCTAAAAGAATTCAACTGGCATTATTAATGCCAATATCTAGGTCAATGATGGTGAACCTATGGCACAATGTCAAGAGTGACACACTGTGTTTTGGGTGACACACTGACATTCACCAACACCCGGCAATATTTTTGAAAGCACACCCTGTTCTTGCACAAATTTTGGAGGCCGTGTGAGAATAGGGTATGTTAATAGGGAGCCTGGTTTAGCTCAACAGACAGAAGCACTGTAATTTAACACCAGCTGTCTGCAGTTAAAAGTAAGATCGAATCTCGCCAGGCTCAAGGTTGACTCAGCCTTCCATGCTTTCTAAGGTAGGTAAATTGAGGACCCAGTTTGTGGGGGCAATAAGCTGACTTTGTATAAATATACAAAAGTATGAAGGCTATTGCTTAACGCACTGTAAACCGCCCTGAGTCTCCGGAGAAGGGCGGCATATAAATCAAATAAAAAATAAAAAAAATGTTCTCATGTGGCCTCCGGACCCTCCAGAAGTCACATGAGAAGGCTGTGGACTTCTGCAGTCTCCAGAACCTCTGAAAATCATACAAGAATGGGATGTGCTTTTGTGGTTTTCGGAGGCTGCAGAGGCCGTGGAAGAGCCTTCTCCCAAGCCGGTTCAAGAATGAAGGCCCCGGGTGACCCAGAGCTGCCGCAGCGGCCTGTCAACAGAAAGAGAACACCACCTGAGGGAAGTGTGCAGCAGATTGTGGGAATCACACATGTATATGTTTTTTAAACAAATGAGTATGTAACGAATTTTGTTTGAGGGGGTGGGTAGTGAGTCAAATTAGGCATTTTTCAAATTTTGGACACACCAAGCCCAAAAGGTTCTCCATCACTGATCTAGGTGCTGGGACTATCCTGTCTCTGTGGGAATGGTAAAACTGAGCGTGGGAGGCAGGAAATGCCACGCATCAAGGTCAAGGATTTTTGTAGGAAGGGAAGGAAAATACTGAACCAAAAAGTTTGCACAAATGGGACCAAAAAGAATGCGCTTTGTGTCACTTTGCCTCTCCCTCTCTTCCCCCCACCCTCCTGATTTTTTTTTTTTAAATAAACAAGTTGTTTGTCAGCTCAATATCTAAGGGCATTTCCCAGAGGTAGAATGGGTCACTGCGCACTTTTCATTCTGTTGGATGGGCTGTAGATGTTGATTGGTGATCTTTGCGGTTGACACCAGCAAACTGCAGAGGCAGGGAAGAACAGCTGCAAAGTTATCTTGGCTGAGGCAGAAGCTTAATCGAGAACTCTCGAAAGGCTGACATGTTCTGCCTGGCAAGACGGCAGAAGATGCAGCTGTGCCAATGACAAGTCCAGCAACTTTCCTTCAACATGGCAGGAGTAGGGAACTAACTCAGTGTGACACTTTCAGCAGTCTGGACGATCCTTCTTCAGGTCTTTGGAGTCCACGGACATGGCAAATAACTAGGGAAGAAGGCATTATTGATGAACAACACTTCCTTTTGTGCACCTTGATCAGATTCATGTGGTATGAGGCAATGAGCTTCCCCCCCCCTAAAATGCACTCCCTAAAACAGTGTTCACACTCCCTAAATCAGTGTTTACCAACATCGGCACTTTGAAGTTCACACATGTTCAAGATGCAGGCGTGGAAAAACACAGCCTTAAATCCTCATACTCTCAGCTCTTCCTTTCTGTACCTGCTAAGGTTTTTTCAGGGTTAATTATTGGACTATATTTTTCATTAGTTCTACGCTGGGGTGCTCACTGGTAGTCCTGCACCTACCTTGTCACTGGGACCCAGGTTATTCCACAATTCTTGGTTTTTCTCCAAGCTGGAAAACAAACAAAATGAAATTATACATAATGAGTGTGTCTTCTGAAATTTGCAATTGAGCTGCTCCTTGCTCTACTGCTTGTAATGCGCACTAGGACAGCTTTTATCCCCAGCCTGTTTTGGGGAATTCTCTTGCAATGAAGATATCTTGATCAGAAAGTCCATTAGGGGACCTGGACTCACCAACCCACCCACGTGTTATAGTTTGAATTCATGTTGGTACTTTAAGCATTAATAAAAAAGGACACTAGTGTAGACAAAATGTGTGTCATATAGCTACAAGCTGTGGACTGGGACCAAGGAGACAATTATAGTCCTCACTCAGTCACCATTTCTTACTGCAATCTACATCGTAGGCTTGTGAGAATAAAACATCACTCTTTGTTTTGTGAGCTGCCCAAAGGGGTGGGGGGAGTACAAATGTCTTAATATATTATAAAAATGACTCATCACCATGCGCCCCTGTAGTTCAAATCTTCCACTCTTAAAGGGAAAGACTAGTTTAGGTAAAACCCACAAATATTCTTCTACCTCTTTAAAATGAGCAAATTTGAAACAGTCTAATTTTTATGGACAATGGTCTGCTTTATTAGTTTCATGGATTATTATCCTGAGACAAGAGATATACTATACTGCCCATTCTTACAGAGACTGGGACATAAATTGGATTTTAGGGGGAAATAATGTTTTTATTGTAAGGTTTTAAAAGCTTCCTGCTATTTTAATTCTGTTGGGTTGTTGTTTTTTTTCCAGGTTTTGAACTAATTGTTTTATAAAAAAACAGTTTATATAAGCCATCCCAGAATGATAGAAAACGGGGAATAATGAAATAAGTACATTTTTAAAACCTTGTACAATAATTAAGCCAAAACAATTATGAAAGTTACATCCGCTGCTGGCACTGTTCATTTTTATGCAAAGCTGGGTTGTCTGGTTGCTCTTCCAAGATTACTCCCTTTGTTTCTAAAACTAGTAGTGGGCAAATATAAGAGGTAAGATGACAACCATCAATGGAAAGATAAAATAGCTTTTTTTCTTTGACCCATGCTGGCTGAGCATTATGGGAGTTGAATCCAATGAATCGAGATGTTGGGTTAAAGTTTGATAGGCTCCAAGAATAAACCTTAGGCCCACACCATTTCGCACACCTTAATTATTTTTTCCCTCCAGAATAGCCCTGAGAAACGGGATATAATAACTTAAACTGATAAACATTCATTTTATCTCTGAACCTATACGAAGTTCACTTAACTATGTCTTATTTTAGCCACCCAATTTCAAATCATGGATTCTGAATCTAGCTGGCTGGCTTGAATAAAATGCAATTAAGATTAACTAGTGCCTCTAGGCAAGATGATAAACGGCGGTTAATTGAAAACAGACAGGGGACGTTAGAGTCTCTCTGAATTGGTTTGTGGTAAAAAATATGACCTTGTTTCTGCTGCAATTCGCAGAATATGACTGTGTGTGTGTCTGTGTGAATGGAGAGTATATACTGGATAATGTTGTATATATATTTGCAGCCTTCTTCTCTAGCCAGCTTGCCACATGGAGCCCACAATCATAAAAAGTTGAGTTTGGACACATCCATGTAGTTTTCTGGGAAAGAATATATTAAATTGGTTTGCTGTTGTCTTGTTGTAGGATGCTTTTAGGACCTTCCAGTCTAGGTTACAGTCCTGGGATTGTCTGGTCACCTTTCATCAAGGACTCACCAGGTCCAAGCCTGCTTAGCACTTTGAGATCATCTAGCAGATGAGCTAGCAGTATTTAATTCAACTATTTTGAGATAAAAGGGCATGAATTTGTCCGCATCCTCATTTGGCCCAAGGAGTCTCACGAAAAACTTCTCAATTCCAGATTGCAAAATGGCTGCTGTCAAGGTGAGTTGCCATATATAAATGCTGCTTGTTGGACCCTGAGTTTTCCTCAGCTTGCCTGCTACTCTACTTGGTATAAGACCACGTTTAATTTAGGGTCCTGAGCAGTGGTGAAATCCAATTTTTTTTTACTACCAGTTCTGTGGGCGTGACTTGGTGGGTGTGGTGTGGCTTGATGGGCATGGCAGGGGAAAGATACAGTAAAATCTCCATTCCCTCCCCACTCCTGGGGGAAGGATATTGCAAAATCTCCATTCCCACCCCTCTGGGGCCAGCCAGAGATGATATTTGCCGGTTCTCCGAATTACTCAAAATTTCCGCTACCGGTTCTCCAGAACCTGTCAGAACCTGCTGGATTTCACCCCTGGTCCTGAGTAGATTTTGAGTCAGTTACTTCATTTCTAAGACGAAAAGGGCAGAACCTCAGCTCTACCTGAAATCCAGCTGTTTCCTGGAAGATCTTCCTTCCAGGCTGGTCATGTTTCCAGATAGTCAAGAATGAGACAAAGGCACTCAGAAGTGTGATTTTTCCTGTGAGGGGAAAGCGTGGACTGGCAAGCCTCATGATCGTGTTCAAATACCTCAGCATATGTTTTTTTAAAAATTTGGCTGCATGTCAGACCATCTCCCAAGTGTCATTGTAGATGGCATAAGATCATCCCTGGTTGGGCCCAAGCCCTGTTACCTTCTGCTAGCTAACTTTCCTTCCTTTGCATCCCCTTTTTTGACAAGCACAGAAACATGAAGCACTTGCACTGGCTTCCTCCATGCCTTTCAGTGGATGACAAAGGATACACTGGGGACTTTGGTAGGGAGGCTTATAGTCACATTCTTCATCCCAGTTTGAAAGCACGATGCATAATAAGTCACTGTATAGATTATTGCAGTGCTCGTCTGAGAGAGCCAAAAATCAGGAGCAGCGTGGTAGCACCTTTTCAGACTAACAAATGTGATTAAAATGCATGAAGCTTGTACATTTTAATAAAGTTTGTTTGTCTGAAAAGGTCCTACCCCACTCCTGCATAGATTATAGCTGTGCAATAAGGTTGCCGTAGATTAGAGTGGGTTGCATGTGAAATTGTGGGAATATTTTATTCCTCGCCAAATTTGTTTCTGAGCTGGGATCAAGGAAACAGGCAATTGCATGAATTATGTTCCTTATTTTTCACCCAAGAGTGACAACAGAAAGCTGTTAGATGGGCGGCTGCAAAGACCCTCTTCATCCAGTACAGATTATATATATATGCTGTATATTACAATCTTCCACTCCTATAGAATACCATCCCTTACACACTCACTCATTTCCCTCTTCACATCATTCCATATAAGGAGCTTCCTTCCTTGCCCAGGCTTCTAAGATTTCTAAGAACAATTATCTAAAGAAAATCCTTAAATTGTATACCTTAGAAACGTGATGGCAAACCTATGGCACGCATGCCACAGGTGGCATGTGGAGCCATATCTGTGGGCACGTGAACATTGCCCTAGCTCAGCTCCAGCTGATTTTTGGCCCTTGCGGTCCCACCAGAAGTTAGGAAACAGGCTGTTTCCGGCCTCCGGGGGAATGGGACCGCAAGAAAGTCTCTGGAGCCTGAGGCGGGTGAAAAACAGGCCTACCGGGCCCACTGGTAACCTTTTTGCAGTTGGGCGCCAAAAGCAGAGGGAAGGGAGGGGATCGTGTGTGCATGCACGGGGGGCATTGAATTATGGGTGTGGGCACATGCGCACACGATCCCCCCACATTCCCCCCATTTTTGGCACGCAACAGCAAAAAGGTTAGCCATCACTGCCTTAGAATGTATACCTTGTCTCATTTCTCTGAGTAAATGTCTTATCAAGTTTTGCGAACAATGAAGTGCAAGACAATCTACAAATTTTAAAGCAAAAAGAAATGTAGTTTCTGAGACTTGGTAAAAGTATACATGCTCAAATAAAACATTCTAATGTTATACAGGTAGTTCTTGAATTGCAACAGTTCATTTAGCACTGAAAAAAGCGACCTATGACTATTTCCCACACTTGTGACTGTTGCAGCATCCCCATGGTCATGTGATCAAAATTCAGACAGTTGGTAACTGACTCACATTTATGACAGTTGCATTGTCCTGGGGTCATGTGTGTGAACTTCTGACAAGCAAAGTCAATGGGGAAGCCAGATTCACTTAACAACTGGGTTACTAACTTATCAACTGCAGTGATTCACTTAACAACTGAGGCAAGGAAGGTTGTAAAATGGGGCAAAACTTACTTAACAAATCTCTCACTTAACGACAGAAATTTTGGGCTTAGTTGTGGCCTTAAGTCCAGGACTACCTGTATAATAAAAATACAATAATACTGTGTTTCCCCGAAAATAAGACCCTTATTATATTTTTTTGAATCCCGAAATAAGCACTTGGCCTTATTTTCGGGGAGGCCTTATTATTTTGGGGTGCGTGGAGGAAACCAGAGGAAATGGTGGGGACCGGCTGTGCATGCGATTAAATATTTTTGGAGAGGGCTTATTTTCAGGGGGGGGCTTATTTTAGTGAATGCGCTCAAAAGCCCGTTTGGGTTTATTATCAGGGGATGTCTTATTTTAGGGGAAACAGGGTAGAAGAAGAAAACTAGAGTAAAGCTAGGCCAGAGTCAAGTTTACACTAGTGCATATCCTTTAACCTCTTCCCACAATTTGTTTTTCTTTTAACCAAGATGCATTGTTTCAAACAAAACGCATAGAGTAACTGAAAGGCACACAAGGCTCTCTGCTCCCTGGACCTATCTTGCTGTTTCTTTTAGACAACGGATTTTGGTGAAGCCGTCCTGCCTCCCCTTCCCACTAGCAATCTCAGAGATGTCAGTGTGTGTTGCAACTTTGCTGCTGACACTGGTTCTGTAGTAAGTAATGCAATGAGCTAACAAGATTATGGTTGTAAGCCACAATCTGCCAAGTCTCGTTACAATCCTTTTCCGTCAACTATACTAACCGTATAAGCAATGTAGAGAGAGATTTTATTTTATTTTATTTTTTGCCCCAAATTGTCTTTTGAAGTGTAAAAGTATTAGAAGTGAACAAGAAAACAATTGGAAAACCATTGTCTCGAATCACAGAAAAAAACAAGCTGTTTTTGCACAGAAG